CTTTGGGGTTGAGATGTGTTTTACGAAAAGAAATTAAGATAATTTGAAGAGTGAAAAGTGAATTCTGAAATCCATGGGAAGACCCATGGTTTTCTTCTGCTTTCTGCCTTGCTTTCTGATTCCTTAAGTAGCTTTTTTTTTTTTTTTTTTTCCCCCAAAAGGATTTAAAAGTGAATTTTAATTGTTTAAAGGTATTTTTTGAACTCCCAAGTTATACTTGATGCTAGAGAAGTGACACTACGATACGAGACTCATGGTACAATCCCAGCTCTGGCTCTGCAGGTGGCCTATGGTCAGGACATGTTAGCAACCGCTCTCCCAGAGATTTTTCCCTAAAAGAAACATGTGTTTAATGCTCAAAATCAGGCCTTCTACCGTTTTATGCCTAATTAATAAGCCATGGCATGTAGGCAGCCTTTACTTTTGGGTGCCAACTGGCCGTTCCTGAGTCACCTTTTTCTCACCTGAGGATTTTTTGAATGTGCTGCATTTCTGTTGCTGGGACTGAGTAGACTTGGGAGCTGGTGTTTAGGCATCGACAGAGATCTTTCCCAGTCATCACATCAATAGATTTTCTAGCTGTGATGTTGTGAGTGGACAGTGGATTTGAAAGTCCTAAATGATCTGGCAGTTGTCTACATTGGAGGTTGGTGTACCAGCTTACAACAGTCAGAGCTCTTTTGATTTAGAAGGGCTTGTGATGGTCTGTGGGCCTGGGAAGCTTCTTCCCATGGCCAAGAGGAGGCTGAGAGCATTGGGGTTTGTAGCTTAAGACACCTCCAGCAGTATTTGAGGTGACAGGGGCAATCTGAGCTGCTGGGTGGGTGACCTGACTGGAAGGCTGTGGGTCCCCACAGCTCTGGGTAGGCACTGACTTCTGCTGTTCTGAGGCCAAAGACGGGGCATAAATGACAACGAACGAAGGGATGCAACTATAATCAAGCTTTCTACTGTCCCAGAAACAGTTTTAAAACCAGAACCAGTGCTTAATACTCAGCTGCGAAGTGATTTTTCCTTCAATTCCAAGCCATCAGATGCCTGCAGACGGGCAGACTGGCATCCCACCTACGGAAGGCGCGCTGCTCTGCACAGGGTAACACGACCTTGTAGGGCTGAGGGAAGAGCAGGGTCAAGAAGTTCATTCTGTGAGTCACTGATTAGGAGAAAAATCTTGGCTGCATTTCCTGACGTGAGTTACCCCGAGGAATATTGTCTGCCTTAGTATGGTTTGGCTTTCTGGACGAGTACCTGACCAGAGCTGCAGCCCTCGCCTTGCCCTCACGCTCAGATTCTCCTCGGGCTTATAACTTGAAACCCAAATGAACTCTTGGTTTCTTTCTTGCTTAAATACTCCTGTCCCACCTTTCCATATGACATCTCTGAGTTACCCCCACAGAGATCTGATCCTTTTTCAGAGAAAAAGCTGCCATCCGATCCTCCACATTAATTGTAGTAGCCAGCTCTTAACATGCTTCTCAACAGCAAACTCTTCCTTCAAACTATTTTCGCTTACGGAGAAAATCCTCCTACCCCACCGTAATAAGCTGATTTCTAAGGAAAAATATATTACAGCTACTATTTGTTCTGTGACTGTGTTAGAAACCTCAGTGGGCAAAGTTTTGTGCAAGAAAGAAACCGCTTGGACAGCCTGATCCCAAGAGTTAATACAGAAAAGGGAAAGCTCGGTGCAAGCAGGGAGAGCAGACACTGACGTGTGAGAGAACAAAATGATTGCCAACAGCCGTCCTGCAACCACCTTCCAATTCCATACTAGCTAGCCATTGCTTCCTACTGCCAGAACACCCTACCATCACCAATGCGAAACTGGAGCATTTTCTATGAACCTTATCTAGATCTGCAGGAGCCAAAAGCCATTATTTCCCAGGAGAGTTATAAATTCCATGCAGTGAAAACAGATATATTTACTACACTCGTCTCCCTATGTATGGAGACACAGTGAGTTTATTTGTGGAGTGGGTAAATAAGGAATCAGTTTAAGCCACATCGGGCTTTCTGGCTGACTAGACAATAGCTTATCTACTTGGCAGACACCAAATCCTCCTCCAGTAAATACACTGCAGCCAGCTGTGCCATCTATGGCCAGTTGGTTTTCCCCAGTACTGGCCAAAGTCCTTCTCGTTCGTTTCCTCCTGTACCTCAATGGACACAAGTCACAGTTTCCCTTTATCGCACAATGGCTGAATCAAAATATAAGAATAAATTTGTAATAGTGCTCTGGGGTGCTTTGCCCCTGGGACCCGACCACATCAAGGGACAACGTGCTCGGATGGTGTGGTACCCCTCATATGAAAGCTTGCCAGAGAGCAAGGAAGATGCACAGTGAACAGCAAGATATTACATTTAGTTCTCTAGCACTTTGTTAGCAAAGAAGTCTTCGAGCATTCAGAAATACAAAATTCTCTCAACAATATAATTTTGTGAATTTAAAGTATAGTGATGTCCGTCCTCACCTTCAGAAAAACCATGAAATGAGATGGCTGGATTTTGAGTTACAAGATTTAACGCCAGAACAGGAAGGAAACGAGCTGTTTGCCTGTACGTGATTTAACTAACAGTGTTTGCTCTGTTACAGGCCTGTCAATGCAAGGTGTTTTTGTTAAACTGGGAATCTGAAATGTGGCTTCCATAAAAAGTATAGCAGCAGACTCCCGTGTATGCGTGCGGTCAGTCACAGGAAATGTTCATCTGAAACCTTTAGGGGTATTCTGCATCGTGGAGAAAATATTTGTACCCAGTGATGGCAAGAGTCCATCTCAGACACCCCCACACACGCACCTCCAGCCCTGAAATGGAAACTAGCGGTTCAGTAAAATGGGGTCCTCAGATTGTCATGCAGAAGTGAAATGTGCGCTATCCAGACAGGCAGGGACACTTCAGGAGTAGGACTATGCGATTTGATAAACCTGCAATGAAAAGCACCTGCACCCCAGCAAACCCCAACACCAGCCAGCAGCACAGGCGGTTCAGGGGAGCACAGACAGACTTGGATTTGGTATGCAGATTATTGGAGGGAGAGAGTTAAAAGAACGATCTTATCAACAACTGGAATCATTATCTAGTAAACATCACCCCTCCCAAAGCATCCTTTGCCTCCTGCTTCCATCGAAAGCCCTGTGCTTAGCCATGGTTAACAAGATCCACATCCACTAGGTCCACAAAGCTCCTGATGAGCTCACTAGTTTGCTTAAAGAAAAACCTTCAGTTTCTGATTCAAATCCCCCAACTCCCCGCAGAAGGAGAAGAAGGCGGAAATAAACCAAATACAACAATTCAGTCCAGGGGCTAATTTACTTAGGGGTTTTCCTACAGACATGAGCTGAAAGTTGAGATGGCAGAACAATCCCTCACCCATCCCAGTGGGAGCACACACTGCTGGGGCACTTCTCAATTGCCCGGAGAAGTGCCAGGCAGCAGCAGGGCAATTCAAAACGGCCACCACCAACTTCAGGCTGCAGGGTGGGAAGGGGAACAAAGTCCCTTTACCAGTGTTTGCTCACTTCTGCAAACACTGGCTCTGCAGCCGTGGTGGGATGTTGCCATGCACCGTTATTCAGCTCACCGCGGGCTTCCTCGCTCTTCATGTCGCGGTGTGCTGGGGATCTAACTTCAGCAGCTACAATATCCCCGCTTCTCTTGCCCTAAACCCAGGGCAGCTCTGCTCTGGGACGGGGGAGTCACCCAGCGGGGACAGGGTGTCACCAGTGGGATGGGCAGACTTGAGAACAGGGTGAGAAGTGCTGGCAGAGATGTGATCAGGGCACAAAGCAAACCACATCCCCGGTGTCAGTTATGGGACCCCCGGGCTGGTTTATAGCATCAATTTGTACCCCCAGGGTTTCCCACCAACTGAGGCTGCAGGGCTCCTCCTCACAGGGTTTCCCAGTGCCCAGCTGGGACAGGGCCACCAGCAGGCAGGTATTTCCAATGTTATGACCCCAAACTCAGCTCTGGGCAAAGGTAGGAGGCAATGTCCCCAGTGAAGAGAAGACGACTCAAAGCAGTCGTGGTGTCCTGCACCCTTGGGCCCTTTACGGACCTGCTGAAGTGCTCCTAGACCTGCAAGGGCCAGAGCTGCTCCCAGGGGATGGCTGAGTGTAAGGACTGGCACACCAGGGCAGAGCTCGAGGGAGCTGCTTCCAGCTGGTCCATGAGCAAGACTGATCCTCAGGCAAGCCCAGAAGAGCTTGCTCTTCCCTCACCAAGAGCAAAAGTTGAACAGCAGCTTCCTGCAATGACACCACCGCGCTGCTCCCCCCCGCCCCAGCTCCAGTTTAACATCTGAACGTGCTGGAGCTGCCCTCAGCATGGGAAGGCCAGGTGCACAGCAGGCTGCTGCACACCTACGTGGCAACACCCACTAGAAATCCACTACAATATCCTGGTGTGAATCCAAGGAACATATCACACTCGTCCTTCAAGTTGTGAGAGGGAGGTTGTGTAATCCCCTTAAAGTGAGATCCCAGCCCAGCCTGCAGTCCACAAGGGTGCAGACAGCTCAAAATAATAACTTAGCTCTTTCTAGAAGAGCAGGAAATTACTGTTGTTTTGATTTGTGGTATGACTGGACTGCAAGTATAGCCTGTGGCATCTACCCCTTCTCTCAGAGGGGTTATGTGAAGACGGGTCCCTTCACTAGCTGTCCACTGTGTTGTCTACTCCAGCTTCACATGATCAATGGACAAAGCAGACTGAGGAAGACCAATGAGTCATTTGCTTCTTTGTTATCCAGGAATATTTTTTTTCCCATCTGAATTGGAGTCTTTCTGACTCTTATTGCAAGATAACCAAATGGGACCAGCAGAGAAATTAGGGAACATGATGTAACAGTCCTTTAGGATATGATCTAAAAGCCTTTTCTTGCCACAACACTCAAAGCAGCCAAACCACAGGACAAAAACAGCTCAGAGCCCATTGTCTACTTTTCTTACACTGACAAGATGCTGATGATCTTCACTCCATGGAAAAACAACTACAAAGAGTCACCCCTCAAACATGCTTTTTATACTCCATTTTCCCCATTTGCTGTAATTCAGTGCCCCAAGTATGTCCTAAACAACATCTAGTTATGTACCGTATTTTACATGGAAGCAATTAGTTTTATAAATTAATCACAATGCACATTTAAATCTACATTGCACTTGATCCAAATCATCATCACATTGTCGTGGCTATATTATTTATGACGATTTAACTGCCACCAGTCTGTTTAGGAAGAAAACAACTCTCATAGAGGACCCAACCATTCCATACGTTACCATACTTGTAGTTTCACTGCTGTAACTGAAACAGAGCTGCAGTATAGCTGAACGTGATATGTGAAGTTCTTACATGCACTATAGAGTTCAAAAAAGTCAAACCTTTGCCTGTTATTTTCAGATGAGATATTGTTACCTCTGATACCGTCTTTATCAGGTTGAACGTGTATACTCCAAGATATAAGCTGGGAAAATCTGGTGCTTCTCAAATAAGACAAAGATGGAAAAATTTTTTTCAATTATCTACACAGCTGTCCAAAAGTCTGTTTGAAACCCCAAGTCTGGCTGGAGGACAAAGGTAGACTTGCTTTCCCTGAACAAAGTCTCCAACAGTGGTGGTCTGTGCTGGATGGACAGTATTGATGAGAATAACTTACATCTTTGGCAAAGTAGCTTCCTAGGGACCAGAAAAAGCCACAGGTAAGAAAATGCACAAACTGAAGTAACAAACATCTGCTATCAGCACTTCAGCAGCCAACTCCTCAACAAGCACCTTCTTCTCTTTCCTACCCCAGGTAGCTCCAAACACATCCTTGCCAGGTGTTTCCACATGAGTTTATTTTAAGACATCAACAGATGGGGCTGATATGGCGGCTTTCACTGCAGCTTTTTGTTGCTTCACTGGTTACAAAAGGTCTGAGGGGGTAGGATCAGGACCACACAGTAGAAAGCACAGCTTGTGCTGTGCTCTCCCCTGCACTCTGGAAACACCACAGGCATTTTGATGCAGATCCAGCTCATGCACTTGTACCTTTTACATATGTTGTCCCATGAGATCCACAGATCCTCCAGCTGAAATTCGGCTCACAGATAGCAGGCACGTGAGGTGGACTCATCCCGTGGAATGGGAACCACTCATCTACCACCTCCTGCCCTGGGCTTCTCTTTTCCATGTGCTCTTCCTGCCTACAGAAAAAGATATCAGAGGTTTAGCATATACATGTATATGCACCCATACACAAGCACTTCTTATCTTTATGGATCAGCTGCCTTCTCCGCCCAGGTCCCAGCCAGACCCAAAATACTATGGAAGATGGAAAAAAAAAAAAAATGATGTAACCCCCTGACCTGTATCCCAGTGAGTAATGAAACACACACACTGCACACATTGCAGCATTGCCTTGGTCTCCCCAGTAAATCTGTGTGCCTGACCAAACCAGAGGCAGTGGTATTTGAAATCAGAAGAGGCGAAGGATCTGAGCTAAGATCCTTTTTCTTTGACCCAAGCCTTCCCCTCTCTCACTTGTCAGGACAAAGCCTTCTACCTGGAATCAGCTGGCTGGTGGTGGCTTCTTGCATGCCAAGAGGAGGCAGGTATGGCAGTGCCCACAGCTCCTCTCCGTTCAGCATTGCGGTTGCAAAAATCCTTTAACAGAGAAAGAGAGTATGTGGCCAGGGGAAAAAGAAAAACAACCTCTTCCTTTTGTGGTGTTAGATCTGGTCTCAACAGACTATGGTCTAACTCTGAACTAGATGGCTGGATTTGATGGCATGGATGAAGGGGTGGCTTGATCTTTAGCTGGCCTTCAAAAAGAGTTTTCTTCTTTTCTGTTCATATCAGTACCAGGAAGGCCAAGATAGCTAATGTGTGTCAGATGTTCGTCCGCAGTCATGCTTTTTCCTTCCCTGGCCTCCATCCTAAGGAACGTGTCTTAGATCTTCCTCCCTGCAAAACCAGCAGAAGAAACCAGGGAACTCTGAGCTGGAGCTAAGAGAAATCCCTGTGTCATCACAAATGCAAAAAATCCCACTGCGCTTCAGATATTTTTGAAAGAAACTTTGCTAGTAAAACGGGAGCTATTTCAGAAATACAAGATCGTCTTGATGAGGGAGAAGAGAAAAAAAAAAAAAAAACAAGGAAACAGAGTTTCTGATATATCAAATAGCTGCTACTCACACCTCATACAGGGATAAATACAATAGATCACAAGCCAAACAGTGCTCTCTCACACTCCCTTTGCAGCCCTGAACTCTAATTCTCAATAGAATTAACACTTTAAGTTTTGGTCTCAGACCTCAATTTTTCCGATAAAACACTGGCCAGTAAGCAGACCACATTTTTGACAAATTCAGTATATCTGTTCTCAGAGAAGACCTGAAGTAGTCACTTGTTTATATATACTCAAATATTGTCAGTTTCTCTCTTTATCAGCGGGGTAAAATTAATTTAACCAGTTATATCCATCCCCCCACTGGCCTTCAAATCAAATCTGTCTACTAATTTCTCATGCTCTGTCCAGCCACAGCCAAGTCTGACTCAAGGAAATGTGCAAAACTATACATTACACCTACAAAACAAAGAGCCCTCTCCACCAGAGTTTTGACTAAAGGTTTTTGGTGAATTTGTGGAAAATACTCATGCCAACTGGAACCACTTTTTTTTTTTTTTTTTTTTTTTTTTTTTTTTTTTCAGGAACATTCAGTTTTGGTGCTATTTTTTCCTTGGAAAACTTCAGACCCAGACTGGCATCTCTGGTTACTTCACTCGAGCTCAAGTGACCCTATCCCATGGTCCATTTGTGAAATGATAGGGGCAGGCACCCAAAACAGGGAGTCTTAGCTTCAGTTCAAGTATAGGATTAAATGTAGGTCTCTCATATCCTGGGGAAACAGTCCACTCACTCCTCTGGCTGTGGTTAATCAACCTCTCAGATTTCATGAAAAAATAAAAATCTGGCCTTCTCCATATTGAATGAGAACATTGCAGTTGTGAGAAGCCAAACAGTAAAGAAAACATTTCCCCAAATCATGATGTTCTACCAACAGGGAGGGTATGTACCACTCGAGCTTATAATGCCTGTGTTTGTTGGGTTTTTTTCTAAAAAACATCATAGAATCTGATAGTTTTAAAAATGGCTTGTGTAAAGCCAGGCTTACAAAACAAGATTTGTATGCCCCCTAAATCTAAACGCCAGGTTTATAAAAGTCATCTTTGTAATAAAAATCTTTTGCGTTGCTGGGTTTTCCTAATCAAAACATAAATTTCCTATAAACCCCAGGTCTAACTCCGCAGGGCCCCAACCTTTTTGTCACCCTCCCCCTCCCATCTTTGGATTTGGTTATTTTTCCACCATAAATCAGAGAATCAGAGCGGTCTGCTCCCGAGGAATGTGCCTGAGCCCACGAGGGCTGGGATAGGGGGCTGAACGGAGAGGGAGGCGGTTTGCCTTTTGCCAAGGGGGGAGCCACCCACACGCCGGGAGGGTGGGATGGGGGCCCAGCCATTATCTGAACGGCTCCGCTGCCACCCAGGGAATGAAGTAAAGCGGATACAAACAACCGGAGACGCTGCCAAAGCGTCGTGCTCCGAGTCCTCCGAAGCCTGCGGATGCTGTAATCCCTTCATTGTCTGCTGAAATAGGTTCTCGATTTCCCTGTTATTTGCTGTCATCCCAGCTGGCTTCTACTAGCTGGAAAAAAAAGTTAACGCAACACAGACCAACGTGCTGCAGTGCTTTTCGTTACACCGCCCCGGTCCCTCCCAAAGGACCTAGCCACCACCCACTCTGGGTGCGATCACGGCCTGTCATTTTTCAGAGCCCTCTCTCACTTACTCACAATCTTTTCCTTGCTCTCACTCCCGTCCCATTCTGCTCCAAACTACTCCAAGAGCTTGTCTGTAATACAAAGGAACTATTGCTTTCTGCGGAGCACGTTTCTTCTGCCCGGAGAACACCTGCAGTCCTAAGTACCATAAATCAAAGCTGTCAAAAGACACTGGGCATTCAGAATAGGCGTCCAGCTGGAAAAGAGAACGTGAAATCCTTGTTCCATATCAAGTGCACACTTATCTTTCTTGTGCACTAACTCATCTTTATAGACAAGCCCTGACGGTACCGTAGTGAGTCATCAAAGCAGCTTTATTTAGAATCATGCTGCCTGATGTTTCAAAACCACACAAGACCTAAAGCTCGTTATAGCAGTACTGAAGGAGCTGATGGTCCCCCTAACGTGCATGCTTTGATTTGAAATTCTAGAGCGTGACTGACTTTTAAAGGTGAAACGGTCCTGTGAATAGGGAGCGCTGGGGGCTCAGCCTCCGGATCATCAGCTGTCATGTAGGTCAAACCAAAAGCACAGTGGATAAGCCAACATTTCTGCACGCTGGCTATTTAGATGTACAGTGCTCTGGCGTGAATGGACAGCCCTGTGTCCCCTGCACAGCTCTTCTGCACAGCCATCCTTGTCCCTCTTTTAGCTGTACATTTTGGAGTGAAACATTTGGAAGCTGAAAACTAATATTCCTGTACTCAGACATGTATTTTAAATTTGCTTAAAGCAAGACATTACACACTATAACTTTTCCCAAAGTAGTGACTAGATGTGAACAGATATATACCTCATATCCTATTTCAGACAGTACTGAATGGTCCCAGTCTGAAGGAGACATGATGTATGTGAACAGCATCTGATTGCCTGTTTAAAACAAGTTTGACCAAGATTAAAAAACTCAAGGGATTTCCACGAGACAGTCTCATGGTCATGTTTTAGGGACTGCCTCAGAAAACCTTCCGTCTTTATATTCTTTATATATAAGCTCTTCTCTCTTACTAATGCAAGCTACAAGTAGAGAATGTCAATGTATGTTACAGTGAGGCTCTGCAGCAAGATGCATCGCACAGTTCTTTCACAGCAAGTGTTACCTTTGCCTTCCTTGCTTGACTACATGCTTATAAACATGCCTGATAATTGTAGGGACCCAGTCTTGTCTAAAGAAAGTACAAACAGCTCTTTAAGCACAATTCCTGCATTACCTCTCCTTACCACCACCAGGCCATATTGGCCTCCTTTGGCAGTAAGCTACCAAAAAAAAAAAAAAAAAAAAATAAGCAGTGGCACAAATAGTTCACACAATGCCTGTTGGTACCCTAAGAAATTATTAAAACTATCCTTAAAACTATCAGCTCTTTGGGAAAGGAATCAGAGAAGGAAAAGCACAGCAAAACCACATCAGATTATCAACATCTGCCTTTTGCTCCAACCAGAACATTCACTTTCTTCCCTTTTCTCTCATTTCCCCTGATTGCTACAAGACTCTACGCGCCCCTGTTCCAGCAACACCGCCCAAATTTCCCCTAACTGATGTCTCCACTCTTCCAGTCCCACTCTTCCTCCTGCTCCAGACTACAGCATCCACAAATCAGGATGTCAGCCTTACTCCCCGAGCTCCCCAACTCACCAGCAGGCTCTATGGCAAACCAAAAGTATATTTTCCCCAGGCTACATGGCCATGCGTGCCTGAGTTGGACCTGCTGTTTCACATTGTCACCAGTATCGGCCTTCATAGAAGAATATAAAACACCACCCTAGAAACTCCACTCCTGAAAACAGTAGAGTTTTTACACTGAGCGCCTCCAGCCATGTAACTTCTCATCAGCAGGAAGTGGGAAATTGCCCTGGCTCTCTCCAGGCTGCTGGGATTTCTCCTCGGAGCGCTCCCCTTGCGGCATGACTGCCGCCGTGACAGCCTGTCAACGCTGTCAAACCCACCGCCCGGCCTACCTGCACGAAGCCTGCATCAGCAGATAAATGAGTCACCCCGGGAGAACTAAATAAACCGACGTTATTTCCCACTGGCAGGAAAATAATAAGTATAACATCCCATACCTTTCATTGTCTTGTTTCCTGCTGCCACTCTTTGCATTGCTAGGACTTCTGCAGATTTTTATCACAGTCTCTGGACCATTTCTTGAACGAGAAGACAAGTGCACCACGAGTGAGAAAGGAGGTTTTTGCCATCTGGCAATGCTACCCAGATGTCGTTGTGCAACACAACGGGAATAGCCTTGCCAGTGCAGCTCCTGCACGCAGCCCCTCCTCTGCTCCCTGCCATTTCCACTTCAGACATTTTGCTGTCAGTAAGAAGGGATCTGTGCAGACCTTTTGTGCTGTAGCGGCTGACTGAGGGGTTCATTAGCACCACCACCCAATTTCACATTCTCTTCCCTTCATATAGATTCTCTTTCCAAAGCCGCCAAGACTTAGGGGGGATGCTGACTTGGTTTCCAAGCAACACTAGCTCCTCTTCTGGTGCTGAAAGAAGTGACCCTCTCCTCTCTGACCTCACGGTGATAGCACAGGGAGAACACTCACAGCCACTTGAAGTTCTGCCTGGGAAAGTTTTGGGAATGTTTGTGGGCATCTTTTTGGCTGTGCCTCAATCGAAGCGGTCAAAACGTGGATGATACCCAGCAAACCTTTCATTCCACTTACAGTAGTGTGATCTCTATCACAAAAACAGGCCTCCCTGAACTATGAGTCCTTCTCTGGGGATCTAGATGCTGCCTTACTCCTGCTACGTCTTTTCTGCTTTCCATCAGTGCGACCGCGGTGCCTTGCATCGAGCTCCCCGTCCCAGGTGCTCTCATGGTTTTGCCGTTTGCTGGAGATGCTCAGGATAATTCCCGCTGCTCCCCCCAGCCTGGCAGCCGGCGCTGCCCGCACCAGACGAGGCCCTGGCACGTCAGCGAGGGACGATGCCTCGGAGGCTGGGGAAGCCCAGAGCCTGCGTGCAGGCACCCCGAGAGTCGGGCAGCCTCTCCGGTGAACGCCGGATTCACCAGCCCCCACACAGTGACGTGCCCGGGTTGTGTCAGATGACTCAGACTCAGTTTTATTGCTGGGGAAGACGTGAGGATAAAAACTCTGCGCGCTCACGTCGAAGAGCACAGTCATGAAGTGGAGCTATGAGAAGATAAAACCCAGAAGGAGCTACGGGGATGCTGCTCAGCCACCATCTGAGTGCTACTTCACTGGCCTGCTTACAGCTCACCCGAACTGCAGAAATCTTGGACAAACTTCTCTCCTTTCCCAGCTGTTAAAGAAGGCCACCAGAGAAGTCATGCTCTTTTTCCAGCCCCAGATAGGGCAAGGGGACATCCTACCTGTCTCATGCTCTCTCAGACTGGCTTGGAAGCTACTATATGGCAATGCACACCACCTCCTCTGGGCATAAAACATACACGCTTTTTAACATTTTCACCAAGGCTGCCTTCCACAGCTTACAGCCTCCTTCAACTATGAAATATCATGAACAACCATCACTGCACATGATTTCATTTTAAGCTCGACACAGAATGCATATGTACTATAGAAACTCAAATACAGTTCATAATTAGCTTAAGCTGTGGTGTCCCTGCCCTTTCTTCTTCCTTGTTCCTTCCCCCCCCCCAAGGCAACAGCCACAGCAGTTTGGCTGGGGGGTGGTTATGCTTGGAAAAGCCCTAGCTGTACGGCACATTCACACGCATGGAAAATCAGAGTCACCAACATGTGATGCTCACTGTGCACCATGGTAAACTGGATTCATATAGAAAGTCCAGTTACAATGCATGCAACAACCACCTACGCTGCGTATGCACAAGAGGGAAAACCTATCCATGATGAATTAGTCACTATCTTTCCTTTCATCATACTTGCATCCTTGACTCTTGATTTCACAACTGTAAATATATAAAAAAGGTTTTCATATTTGCAGCCTTAGCTCAGCATGGTGTAACATCAAGGAAACCGGGACTCTACTCTAAAATGTCTCTGTTCAAACCGGAGCCACTCCCGGTTTTGATCAGTCTGTGAAAACTGCTTCCATGTTCTCTATTTTATGTTTCACTTCCTGCTCCTTCCCCTTCTTACTGTGCTAAGAGAGGCTGCTTATACTCCACGAAATGTTCCCTCGTTGCTCTCACATACAAATAGAAAAGCATTTCCAACGACATTTTGGAAAAGAAGCTGGGTGCCAGCTAGTTCTCCCATAAGTATGTCAAGAGGTAAGCACGGAGATCTTTTACCTTCGAAATCTATCTTGTATCTCTGTGAACCAGCTTGAAATTCAGAAGTGCACGGATGAGTTTGCAGCTCCACATTTGCAGAAGTTACAGGTGCAGCACCTTGTTCTGGGTGCTACAAAGGAGAGGGATATTTGTTAGCAGCGGGCTTTGGGCCACAGTGGTGTCGCACATTTAGCAGGGTTGGATTTAGCTTCGACACAAGTCACAGGGAAAAACCAGTGATTTAACCCAGGCAAATCACAGACTCTCCTCTGAGCTATGTCAGGGTGTCTCTGCTGTCTTGGCCAGTCCCTGCACCACAGCAGATCACCAGGGCTCTCTCCTGTCCCTCTCTTCTCCCTGTGCCCCCCACCAAGGACTGCTGCAAGTGCACCAAAGTGGCTGCAGTACAGCCTGATTACATGTGCATGTCACCTCCCTTCACCCCCCTTGCTCAGTGCCACCCAAATCGCTCCCTGCAGCGCTTCAGCCTCCTCTGATTGCCCGGGGTGGGGGGAAACAGAGACTCCCTGGAAGTGGGAGCTGCGATTCCAGGCTCCAAAGTTATTCCCAGGTGAGCTTATAGATGGGGATGGCTCCCAGAGGCTTTGATGGAAAAAGCAAGTGGCTTTCAGAGATTTGGTTTTTTCGGCAGAAGTAGGCAGAAAGTGAACCCTTCTCACATACACAGAACTTTCAAATCAAAATGAGTTTTCAACAAATTCCCCAGCCACCTGTAAAGGCAGCCTGTTTTCAGAGTTGAATTTTCTGGGAGCACTGAGGAAAATGAGCAAAAATTAGAGAAAAGTGCAGGGTGATCAAGAAAGCACTGTTAGAATATCTGCATTACTTTTATTAAATAAAGCTAGCAGGTGCTAAGTTCAAAGGAAAAGGGGAGCTTCCTTCAAGCAACATTCAGTTCAGATGTGGGAATACTTGCCACAAGATGTTGTGGATGTTAAAAGTTTTTTCAGATTTAAAAAGTGATGGAATAATTATTGAAAGAAGAACTCGTCGAGGGTTATTACGTATATAAATACCAACCCTGATGCTGGAGATCCCCAAGCCAAAAATTGCTGGAGGCAGGGAGAGCATTTGGGGAAAGTATCGCTACATACTTGCCTTGAGCTTATAATTTCCCTTTGACACTTGTGTCATCCAGCGATAGGGACAGGCTCTGAAGCTAGATGTACCTCTTGTCCTGGTATGCTACAGCTTTTCCCACACTTTGGGGGAAGGAGACAGCAGGGAGGGAGTGACTGGCATGAGGTGCTGCGTGTGAGAGGGAGATGCTCACCTGCTTTCCGTATCCAACCCAATAGAGGCAATACTGGCAGCTTTCCATCCTGCCGATGAAGCGGGCATCAGTGATCGACAGAAAGTGCAGAAAGATGACCACGGGCAATAAAAAAAAAAGGCAGACCAGTTTCTGGCAGTCCCAAAAGCATTTGCAATAAGTCTGCAGACCTTTGGAGTGCTCCGCAGCACTCCCTGGCTCTTATACCCTCCTCCAGCTCTTCCTGCTGTGGGTCAAAATCTGGACTGATCTGCGCTTAGTGCTCAGCAGTTGCAATTAAACTGCAGTTTTCTGGGGGAAGGGGAACTGACCTGGTTGTGATGCAGATGCTCATGAAGAACAAGACCCAGTAGACCCTACGGGCTGCTGACGGTTAACGCTGAACTTCTGTGATACCCCCCAGCTCTCCCTCAGCCCCCCCAGCTCAGCACAACCGCCCTCAGCTCTCCCACCATCCCCTCCCCATACCCCAATCCTGCATGTTCCTACACCACCCTCCCCTATATCAACCTACAGCTGCCTGCACCCGGCCAGCCCTCCCCGCAGAGGGGGCCCAGAGCTAGGCTGGCTCTTCCCGGGCAGCGGGGGTCCCTCAGGCCCCCCCAGAACTGGACGGGCACCGCCACTTACAGACCCGGCAGCAGAAGGCTGCAACACCCCAGGGCATCCTTGCACCATCTTATATGTCCCCGTGCCTTCTCAGTGGAGGATCCCCCTTCTTCCCATCCTCCCCTTCACGCTCCTGTAGCACTGCCTGCTTGCAATCCACAAAGCACTTCTCATTCCTCTTGTGCTCCTGCCTGCAAGCCTTCTCCCCGGGGCACGCTGCGCTGCAGCGTCAGTCACATCCCACCTACATGAGACAGAAAGCAAACAGGTATCTCACCTTTGAAGTTGATCACATACTGCTGAGAACCTGCTCGAAACTGGAGAGTGCCTTCCTTGTCAGCCTGAAATGCCTTCTCCACCTGCGAAGGTTACAGTGGCAGCACAGTGGTTTGGAGACTGGAAAAACAAGGGGAATTATCCATCAGAAAAAAGTTTTGGTTTAGAGAGCCTGCAGAGCAGCATTTTATTTGCTAAGCAGGGGTAGTTGCCTATGACTTGGAGTCTTCCAGTGCATCCCAGACCTACCTCATCTCCCACCAGAAGCTGTTTGCTGGGCACTGCATCCACAGATGAGGTCTGGTGGGGTGGTGTATCCCCAGAGTCCTGCCCATCTCTGTGGCCCGTGGTGCTCTCCACCTTCTCCTCAGCCCTTCCACGCAGGATTGGAGAACATCACCACGGCTCTCAAAACAGTCACGTTTTGCTATTGTTCCTTGTCAGCACGTGGGATAGCTTTCTGGCTCTCTCTTCTGCAATGAGTCGCTAGGATGTCCAAAGCAAAAGAGCATTCTCCTCACAGGTGCACACACAGCATAACAATTGCTCCCATTAAAGCAATTCTGAAAGGCTCTGATTGGCCAAGAAAATAAATGGTGTTCAGACCTCAAGCTCACAGGGTGCTACCTGATAGAAGTAAAATTACGAGAGGCTGCTGAATACATCAAAATGCATGTGTGCCACGGGGATGCACTGAGGCAAGACCCGAGACGTGTGTGAAAGGCACTGCTTGCGTGAAGGGCAAAAGAAACTCACGGGCAGGGAGGGGAGAGGTGCTTACTGCCTCTCGGTATCCCTGCCGCTGGTTAGGGTCATCCAGGCAGTACCGGCAGTTTTTGGTACTGGCCACGGGGCAAGCACCAGCGTGAGACATGCCGAGAGGAAAGATGTGGAGATGGGAGGAAAAGGAAAATCAGTGTCTGGCAGCTGTGGAAACCCGTGACCTCCGTTATCACCCCTTCCCTTCTCTGTGTCCACCTCCTCCTGCCAGCGCAGATATTGCAGCGCCGTCCCACCACCAGTCCGGGCGGGTCGGGTGTGAGAGGACACCTCCACCACACTTGTCATCTGGCCGGCAGCAGGTTTTTCTTGTCATCTGCACGCTCAGATTTCCCTGGGCCGTGTCGTGACAAAGCAAACACGAAGGCAGGCTGAAGTAGAGCAGCTATTCAGGAAAGGCATAGCTCCACCACAGACCCCACTGCTGTGACACAACACAGGCGCTAGAAGTCTGCAGCAGTTCAAGAAAGACCAAACATACTTCACCGGAGAAGAGAAATCCAGTAAGGGCCATCAAATACACATATGTTATTTCAGCCTTAGGAAGGCCTCGAGTTGCATGTCACTGGCAGTGAGGGATGTCTCACTACCTGCTGTTCCTCCCCTTCTTTTCCAAGGATGCAGTGCCTGCTGCTGCCGAAGGCAGGAGCCAGGCTGGCACACTTGGGCATGTCCCTGCTCAGCCACTCTTACACAGAGGGGCACTGGAAAATTGCTGACACGTGTCCTCTTGTCGACCTGGAAGGCTCCTCTTTTGATCCCATCACACAGCCAGTTTCGAGCTATCGCAATCCCACTCCTCAAAAATGGATGTGGGTACCTAAAATAGTGCCTGTGCACGATCTAGGTCTTCTCTTTTTCTTCTTCGAATACCACCCTATCCTTTCAGCTTGCAAACATCAGTCCTTCTGTGTCCTCCCCAGCAAGCAGCCCCGCAGTCGAGCAGCCACCCTGGGGCGATGGAGAACCACAGGCTGCCTCCCACGAAGCTCTCCTCCTCCACAGCCTCGGCTAATCCAGGTCTTCTCCTCAGCTCATCCTCTCTCACAAGTCCTCCATCGCTCGTGGTGCCACATGCACCATGACCCACCTGTTGGTCTCAGACTATCCTCCTAATACTCTTCTTTTTTTTGTGTGTTGAATACCATGACTTTATTTTTCTAATCTTTTAACTGTACAGGTCTCAAATAGCTCCAGCAATTAAATCGCTCATTTAGCCAAAAGAATGGGAAATTTTATATATTTCTCACATTTTATGTTGTCAGACACAAACAGCATCTCCTCTGCTTCTCAAATTACACAATTAATTTTCTAGCAAGTGCTTTTAAAGATGTGTGTTCCCTCTAGCTAGGACGGATGCTTCTGTTGGTCATGGGGCTACATGAGGCATATTCAGGAGAGAAGCCGCGCTACAAAGTTAACAGAACATCACACGTATTAAACACGTTATAAACAAGTAAGTATTCTACCTTCAAAGTTTAGCCCGTATTTCTGTGAATGAACTCGAAATTTCAGAGTGCCTTCCTGATCCGCCTGGAGCACCTTCCCCACCTGGGCAGATGTCACCAATGCTGCAGACTAGGTTGAAGGCTACAGAAACAAAAGTAGTGATGGTGTCTGTTATAGGCAGCTGGTTTTTAATGCTCTTTATAAGATTGGTGGAAAGGTTTAGCATAACATCAAGACCAAAGTAGTTAATAGTCAAAGTAGTGCTGCACTGTACTTCAGAGAAACAGCTTTCCAAATACAACTTTGTCAGCTTTCCAGTGAGTCACGACATTCCCTGCCCTCCCCCAAAATTTATATAACGTATATGTAATGAAAGTGTGTGCATGTGTACAGGGGAAAAAAAAAAAAAAAAAAAAAAACAAAACAAAAAAAAACAGCCTTGGCAAAGATTTTAGCTACTCCCAGGACAGAAAATTGTGCTTAGAGGTGGCATTCAGAAACTCCCCCAAGAGTACACTGTGACACTTCAAGGGTTGGCCAGCACCACGGGACTATGGAGAAAGCCCGCGTGCCACCTGACAGGCAGGCCTCGCAAAAACCCAAACATTCAAAGCGGGACTTCTTTACTAGTGACTGGGGCTCGGAGCTGGGTTTCAGGGGTGCAGCGGAGTTTACCTGCTTCCCCTACTCGATCCGCCACAGGGAATCATCCAGCCAGTATCAGCAGGTTTCCATGCGGCCAAATGAGTGAGCCTCAGGAAGGATCAAAAGCACAGAACTGTCTCAAAAAAAAAAATGAAAGGGAAAAATTAAAAATAAATAAATAAATAAGTAAATAAAAAGGCGATCAGCTTCTGGCAGGTTGCTTAACAGTAGTCTTGAGAAGGAAACCCCCACTCAGCAGGAATTCCTGGACTGTGATCATCATTTCACAGCCCAGAAAATTGTCTGGTTTCCAAATCCTCAGGGCAGAGAACGAGTCCTAAAAAGTTTTTTTGTTTTCTTTGTTGCCTGTACTTGAACCCAGATGTCCCATATGCTGCCCCCTGAGCGAGCCAGCACATGGTATGTGCACTGAGCAGACACCTGACCCTGGTTAGGTAGCAAGAGTACTGTTTGCTTGCTATTGATGTTTCACCTATAGAAGCCAATACTTCTGAGTTTCCTTGGGTTCCCCAACAAAACCTCAGCATATGTGGGAGTAGATCATCTGGCTACCAAGCCCACGTCCCTTCTGCTGCCCACTGCAATGAGCTGCTTCCCCGTGACAAGCAACAGCTTTCACAATCCTCATGAACGCACAGAGTCGTTAGAGGATTCTGACCATTTTTATCTCGGTTGATAGCATTCACACCGAGAGGGGTGCTGCAAGTGGCCTTTCCATCTGCTGTGCAGTGAAGCTTTTGCTTTACTTACAAGTCCTGTTAGTTATATTTCAGATTCAAGAAACTGCCTAGACACCACACGTTAAGAGGCGCAAATAGAACTAGAAGTTGAAGGGAGTAAAAAGAAAACAAATCCAAAGCTTGATCTGAGAAGGGAAGGAAAAGAAAAGCTGGTGAGCGGGACATGGAGTTACTCAGACCATACAGAAATAGCAGCATCTGGAGGAGGTCCTGGTGGGAAAAACCTATTTTTCATAGTGCTGTCACAAAGTTTAGGTTTGGTTAGTAGCCTACGGTTCCATGCAGTGAAACTAATCACATCTCAGACTACACTAAAGAAATGTAAAGAGGCCCTTCTGTTAGTAAGGAATTTGACTTAGTCAAAAAAAAAAATCCCAAAGTGGGAGGCAATTTTTGAGACATTATGAGGGATGTGAGGACTTTCAGTCAAATAAGTTCTGTGAAGGGAGAGATTGTTTAATCATTAATACAAGGTCAGATTGCATGAGGATCCAAGAGGAAAAAGGATGTGGAGAAGACTCTTTGAAGAACTTGTTTGAGCTAGGAGGCAAAATGAAGATCAACTGGCTCTCAGGACAGAAGGACAGATCACAGCTTCAGCCGGATGGCACAGAGTATAGGTTAAAAAGTCATAAACCTACAGGAGCTTTCAATAAGAAAACAAACTGGAAGATTGCTATCCAGAAGGACCTTGACAGGCTTCAGAGGTGAGTCCATGGCAAGCCTCATGAAGTTCAACAAGGTCAAATGCAAGGTCCTGCCCATGGGTCGAGGCAATCCCAAGCACAAATCCAGGCTGGGTGAAGAGTGGCTGGAGAGCAGCCCTGCGGCGAAGGACTTGGGGGTGTTGGCGGATGGAAAACTGACTGTGAGCCAGCAAGGTGTGCTCACAGCCCAGAAAGCCAACCGTGTCCTGGGCTGCAGCAAGTGTGGGCAGCAGGGCGAGGGGGGGACCCTGCCCCTCTGCTCTGAGCTCCTGAGACCCCACCCGGAGTCCTGCGTTCAGCTCCGGGGGCTCTGATGTAAGAAGGACATGGAGCTGTTGGAGAGGGGCCAGAGGAGGCCACGGAGATGCTGGGGGGGCTGGAGCAGCTCCCCTGGGGGGCCGGGCTGAGAGAGTTGGGGGGGTTCAGCCTGGAGAAGAGAAGGCTCCGGGGAGCCCTTCGAGCGGCCTCCCAGGGCTTAAAGGGGGGGCAGGAGAGGGGGGGAGGGACTCTGGGTCAGGGGGTGTAGTGACAGGGTGAGGGGTAAGGGTTTTAAACTGAAAGAGGGTAGACTTAGATTAGATGTAAGGAAGAAATCCTTCCCTGTGCGGGGGGGGAGGCGCTGGCCCAGGGTGCCCAGAGCAGCTGTGGGTGCCCCCTCCCTGGGAGGGTTCAAGGCCAGGTTGGATGGGGCTGGGAGCCCCCTGGGCTGGGGGAAGGGGGCCCTGCCCGGGGCAGGGAGGGGTGGAACTAGATGATCTTTAAGGTCCCTTCCAGCCCAAATCATTTTATGTTTCTATGCAAGGGGCTATCTGCAAAATGCAGCCAGAAAGAGTTTTCAAGAAGCAAGAGTGAAAAAGTGTAGAAGTTGTTCAAGAAAACAGAGATCAGTGTGACTTCTAACATCTCCTTTGGTCTTAGTAAAGGGAAAACCATTTGAAAAAAATCAAAATCATTAAGGAGATCGAAGCTGAAGGCACAGCCCAAGAAAAATGATTCAGAGAACACAGAGTGAAATAAAGCTTCTCTTTGGGAATAGGTAAAGACACGGCTTCCTCCAGTGGTGGGGATATCGTGTGTAGACACTTTCCAAGTGGCTACAGGTTGAGCACTGGCACACCGATTAATGGGCCCTCTGACATTGCAGTAAAGCATCTGGAAGGAAAATCTAAGCTTATTAAGAACAGATGGATAAGAACCAGGTCAGCCTTTCCTATTGCTCCTATTTGTAATCTAGATGTAAAAGTAATCTTGGAAAGACAGATTGAGTTGCTTTGGGAAATGCTGTCTAGGACTCAGCATACCAGACAATAGGTTCATCAAAAGAAACAGGACTTCAAAAAAACAGGAAAAATTAGAAAAAGTTGTTCCCTGAGCAATGGAAGTCTGATTCTTACAGATCTGTCTCCTGCAGCCCCTAGATGAGGACCCCTGCCCTCCCCCAAACCCTCAGGCCCCCATCATTACCACAGCTACACGCTGATTCAGGATCATTATTCCCTCGATCCAGAAACAGTCTTGTTAAATAATGCAATTGTTGAGCATGTCACGCCAAGAACAATATCTGAGTTTTCTCCACCTGGCACCCATACAGTGGTAGCGCCAGGTTATGGGGCTCAGGTTGATTTTTAGGAGTTTAAATGTTTTGGAAAATAACATGCCATTCAGCTTGTTCAATCGAGCATTAAGTTTCTATGGTTTAATCATCCCTGTAATAAACTCTGTCAGAATTCTTTAAAAGGATTCTTAAAAATACCAAAAAGTCAAATTTGGCATCACTAAACTAAAAGACAGCCTGAAAATGTTTTGAGGTGTTATTTAATAGAAAGCCTAGAGCAGGTGCATGAATATGTAACCAACAACTTTAAAGCCAGGGACACTGTGAAGTCCTAAGAGCACCACAAGAAAATCAATTAGAAATGCATTACATCAAAAAGATCACTTGGGCTCCCTCCTCTGCATTTGGGGACTCTTGCGGGGGCAGCTGGCCTGTCGGCAGAGCCCTCTCCCTCTGCTCTCCCGCAGCTTCCAAGCCCCCCCAAAACCTCCCCACGGTGGCACAGGTGAAGTGCTCCCGCAGCACCTTCCTAACAGGGACCATATTCCAAAAAATGGAGAAATTAGCGGTGGCGTGGGGAAAAGAGCAGCAACACACTCCTGGGGGTTGGCACCGCTCCTTTTGGCGGTGACACGGAGGGAGGGTTGCAGCGAGCGACCCTGAAATGGCTCGGGCTCCTCAAGGAGCTCTCCCACTTCAGATCCGGTGCTCCAACACCTACAAAGCCAAAGAGCAGTTCCACCTCGGCCGTCCCGCGCCGCGGCACGCAGTTATCGCTGCACACACCGGACTCCAGCCTGATCTTCTCGTATAATACCTGGCACCTACTTGCTGGAGGCTGCGAGAGCTCTCCCTGCTGTCAGAAATTGTTTTGGCTTATTGGAAAATCTCTTATTCCAAACGCTGCGTGTTTTCACCTCCCCTCTCCTCTCTGCCAGGTTTACTCTTTTTCAGGCCAACAAAACCCCCCTTTTTCGGTGCCTGGCCTGCCCCTCAGCAGGCTCTCCCTTACCTTCTCCTGCCTCTGAGGAGGTTGGTGATCACACGCTGAGGCCCACCTTGCTGGAAAGGGCTTTTTCCCACGAGATTCACGGTTTCTTCTGTCATGGTGGAGAAGAACAGGGGAAGATGGTTTGTACAAGGGCATCATTCCACACAGCATTTTCTCTAATGGCAAAACTCTTCCCAAACCCTCCATCTCCCAAAGGCTGCTTGTACAACCCCCCACATACGCTGATGAAGCAAAGGAGCAAATTTACACAGTGTTGTAAGAACCAAGGCGGGGTGACAGCTGGAAATGGTCATTATTTCCATCCCTGAGAATCTGCAGCTTGGAGGCAGCCAGGGGAGGGCGACTGTGGGGTGAAGGCTGCCATAGACGGCACCCACTGGGTGCCACGGCCAGGCAGCAAGTCTGCAAACTGAAAAAGACCTCTGTATAGTCCCACCTAGTTAAAAAGCCAACAGCTTCAGTCGGATTTTCTGTTGCTGTTTGTACAAATAATGCTCAGATTCATGTCTGTGCGAAGCACAGGATGCAGGTCTATGACCACTGACAAATCTTGGGCAAAGAGCTCTCCAAAATCCCTGCACTTTGCCAGTGCAGTGGTATTGATAGCACAAGAAAGCAATTAACCGTTGTACACCACCTTCCTTATTGAGAAAGGTGTGCAGCAGATAATTTACTGCCATTTGTTTTTCTTTCTTTCTTTCTTTCTTTTTAATGAAAAAATATCATGTATTCAGGAAAATGCCCATTTAAGTGACTTTTACTTCCTGAGTGCATGGAAAGCTCTCTGCTCACCTGTGGCTGACAAGATTAGGTCACTAATTTGCAAAAAAACAACCTTTAGGCTCCTGCAAAAGACGTGGGACGTGGAAGTGCACTAAATAGGGTAGCTCAGGGACTCACTGCAGTAAGAAAATGTCAGAAAGGCAGCTAAGGGCACTGATTGTGCCTGAGGATAGCAGGCTTTAGGAAAGCTGATGAGATCCTACACACATCCCCACTCTTGGTTCCTCCCACTCACCGCATGCCCAGCTGAACCACTTCTGACTCCTTTGCTGAATTACAACAGCTTATACAGCAAGACTGTTTAAAAATAAACCATTAATTTTTGTTTCCATGCTATCAGTCATCCCCAAAGCCATCCCACCATCCACCAAGTTCCAAGCAGTGTGCCCACCATCCAAGCTTTCCCCCACCCATCCCGGTGGGAGCACACGCTGCCGGGGCACTTCTCAATCACCTGGAGAAGCAGCACAATTCAAAATAGCCACCGCCAACTTCAGTCTGCAGGGTGGGAAGGGGGGGGTGGCCGTGCCAGCGGCCGCCCCTCACAAAGCTCCTTGGCCTCACCGGTCGCTGCTGCTGCTGCTCAGCTCACCGTGGACCTTCCTCGCTGTAACTGCCGTGGCACAGTGGGGATCTAACTTCAGCAGCTGCAATCTCCCTGCTTCTCTTGCCATTAACCCAGTGGGGACAGAGCAAGGACAGGGTGTCACGGGGACGGGCAGACTCGACATGGAAGAACAAAGTGAGAAGAGCTGTCAGCAACGCGACCGGGAAACAAAGCAGAGTTCATTGCCAGCATTAATTACAATGCCTCCAGGATGCAGGAGCTTCCCGTCATTTAATGGAAAGACAGGCCATGATTCATCTCTCGTGCTCCAACGTAGGTACTTTCACTTGTCCTCTGTCCGCATTCCCCACCTTTAGCTCATCAGCACAATCACAGGCAGGAATCATCCCTAAGTGACTAAATCAGTGGATCAAGTTAACCGTATCCTCAGCAGTGCCACTTTCAGCAGCAGCAAGTGTCACTGCACCCAGCTACGCAAGGCAGGTACATCCCCATCCCAGGCTGGAGATAAGGCGGAGGTCAAAGTTTAGCGCTTTCTGCCACCAAAAGGACAGCCCCTACCAAAAAACTATGCCTCAGAATCCTTCAGGGGATTGGCACTGGTTCACAGCATTACGAAATGTTCTAAAACTACTGCTAAAATTCAACAAACATTTTTAAAAAATGCACTAAAGTGTAATTTATTCAGTGTAAATTCAGATGAGACTCTGCCATTCATTACAGAATCATACAATGGGCCTCGCTGCTGTACTCCAAAATATAGGCGGGGTAAATCTGGTGCTTCTCAAAGATGACAAAGATGGAAGGGTCTGTTGGGTCATCCACACAGCTGTCGTAAAGTCTGTTTGAATTACCAGCTCTGGGTGGAGGGCGAAGGTATTCAGGGTTTCCCTGAACAAAGTCTCCAACGAGAACTTGAGCTACAAACATGCTGTAGCGACCACCGCGAGAGGAGCAGTACTCGTGGGAATAGCTGGCGTCTCGGGCAAAGTAGCTTCCTAGGGACCAGAAGAAGCCACAGGTCAGACAATACATCAACCGAGGAACAAACATCTGCTGTCAACACTTGGGCAGCCAATGATTCAAAAACCCCAGGTAGCTCGACACGTATCCTTGCCAGGTGTTTCCACATCGACTTAATTTAAAGCATCAACAGATTCTAGCCACGTTTTGCCATCAACCTCCCAGTCCCATCTGTCCAAGAACTTTGCTGAGCAGTGGATACCTGAGGCAAAGAGGGGTGGTTTTAGCCCCTCCTGAAATGGGGTTGCTGAGGACGCTGCCTGCAGCCATGCAGTGCAGGGGGCAGGGACAGTCGGTCACCCCTCACGCACCCATCAGCCTGGCTGGGCTCTGCAGCCTGCGCTGCTACAGCCCCTGAACCCACACTTCTGCACTTGTACCTTTTCCATACATTGTCCCGTGAGTCCCACAGATCCTCCAGTCAAAGTTCTGCTCACAGATGGCAGACATGTGGGACGGATTCGTCCCGTGGAACAGGAGCCGCTCATCCACCCCTTTTGACTTATTGAGCTTCTTCATCTGCTCCTTTTGCCTATGGACCAAAAAAAAAAAAAAAAAAAAAAAAAAAAAAAAATTTAAAAATAGACATGTTACCCTGGTTCAAACAAGGACAATTTCCCAACTCAACTCCTCCTACTTTTGGGTCATGGAGGAACAGTGACACAAACCACTCTCAGTGGGGTTACTGCCTTCTTTGCACTTCTGTTGGTACCCTGCTGCACAGCTGGCTCTTTCCAGCAAAACAAAAAGTTCTCAGCATTGCGATGGACTGTGTCACCCACAACTTCATACCACATGAGAGAGTAAAGAGACAAACATCTCTTGACTGGGAATTGGTCAGCTCCCAGGTTATATAAATCCTGAACGCATAAATATGATTATAAAACTGAACCGTATGAAGCCACAGTGAAGACTGTCTAATCTCTACCCCCACGTTTATCACATATGAAGTCCCTTTAAAAAAAAAAAAAAAAAAAACAACCACAAAAAACCCCCACAAAACCAAAACACAGAACTCCTGTGTGGAAGAGACTGAAACAAAAAGAATAAATTTGAGATACCACAGCTCAGTCATGGTGAAGGAAAAGAACTTTCTTTTTGAATAACACTAGCAAGAACACCCCCCCCCCCCCCCCACAACCCGTTAGGTTATGTGGTAAAAGGCTCGTTTCCACACACACAAAAGAGCACAGAGACAACCCCGACAACCCAATCACGGAGAGAGGAGCCTCAGCCCTGGCCTCTCCCAGGGACCAGGGGCAGACCCAGCACCACGAGCAATGGGAAGGGTCCAGAGCAGCTCATGGACACAAGCAGGGTACTGCCTACGAGGGTGCGGGACTTGTTACGGTACAGAGGGGAAGAGCATTTGGGGATTGCACAGAATTTATAGTGAGATGTTTAACAGAGGAACTGCAGGTGGGAGAAGGGAGGGGTCAGGGTGGTCTGAGGAGGAACAAACACGGGAAAATAGATGGATAAGGGGGTAAAAAGGGCTGGTTGTGTGTAAACAGACAGCTGTCTGGCTAGTGGTCTTGTCTGGCCATGCCCTGTGCCTGACCAGCGCAGTCTGCCCTGTCTCCTCATTAAACTCAATTTCTGGCTCTTACCTGGATGATGGACTCTCCAGTCCGTGCGCACGCGCGCGTACGGGCATCGGGATGCAGCACCCGGAGTAGGACCTTGGGTCACAGGAGCCACGTGTGCACAGCACCAGCAGCTTCAGCAGGCGAGGGTGTGTGTCAGTGTGTGGTCACCAGCCAGCGTGAGGCTGGACAGCCAGTGAGGAGGGGAGCTGGCCTGGGAGCCGGGTCTCAGAGCAGTCTTAAGTCTGGCCCAAACGCTGGAGAGGCTAAAAGGTCTGAGCTTGCTTACCAGAAGGACCAGGAGGTCCAGGCCAACCACTGAAGACCCCACAAAGTCTATAGAGACCCACTTGTATGTGTGTGCGTGTCAATGCAGAACATAACTGGAGACAAGAAGACCCAGGGGTCAGCACATGGGTAGGCTGAGGGTCTAAGCCCAGCTCCTAGAGGGACCATATATGTGTGTACATTCCAGTAACAGGCTTTCACCCGAATCAGCCAGAGGAAGGGAACGGGATGAGGCTGTTGGTGCTGTTTAGGACTGCACGGGTGCTGTGCTGCCTGTGTTGCTTTCTGTGACCAGCTGTGTGCTCACTCATACGTTCTGTGTGTATGTGTGCCTAATGGGAACGCGTGCTGAACCTCACCCCCAGCCAGGCTTGGGCACCTCTGCTGGGCTGCTGGATTGGCAACTCCTAATGCAGGCTGTGGAGGACAATAGATCAGGAAATACCAGTCTCCTGCTACCATAAGGATAATGAAATAAAATAGATACAAACCACTGAAAAACTTGCCAGAGTGTTGGGTTCTGGATCCTTTGCACTTGGTGGATGTAGTAATCTTTCATTGTCTTCTCAAACAGCCTCTGAATTTTTCCGTACTCATTGGAACTGTAGCTGAGCTGTACCAACTGAATAGTTTTAAAACACCCAAAATAAGGTATTACTGACACTAACAACTCCCAGTCCTACCTAAGGACTCACTGGCCTCCTCACATTAGGGGAAAAAGCCCTGCCATTAAAATCACAAGCTTTCTAGTTAACCATCCTCTCCCCTCCTTCACCCTCACTCCCCATGTGGAAGCACAGGCACTGACTGAGAAAAATGAATGCAATCCCACGCAAGCTTCCTTTGATGGACACACCTCCGCATCTCGATTATTCTTACTTCAGAGTAACCTGAAGATTACAAGCACGGCAATATTCAGGCTGGAGAAGAGCAAATATCAGTTTCACCTTAATTTGACAACCTAGCTCCTTCCCTACAGGGCTAAGCCCTAGTTTTATCATGGCAAATAACATTTTGCCTCAAATCGAAGGAGGAGAGACTACAACACCCCTTAAGATGCAATTCATACAGTTTATCAGGTGCCTTGGGAGAGTGCAAAGGGCAGGTCAGACCGGTAAGGGCCAAAAGGGCCCTTCTTACCCTGTGTGGTGTATGTGGGGGGGCTCAGAGAGCCACCCAGGAGACACAGGTCTATTCTGAACATGAAACTGTCAGCCTGTTTCACCTCATAGTTGCTTATTTTATAAGACACATTTAAAATTTGGGAACATCTCAACAGTCTTGGGTCACGTTCTTGGAAAAATCAGTACGGGACACAGTTTGCCATACCCATTGGGGAGCTGGAAGGACCTACCCTGAACCCGACATCAGGCAGTGCAGATTGGTCCCATTGCAGAGGATAGGCAGAACTTGAGAGAGTTGTGTTTTGGCTGCAGGAAAGAAAAAGGAGCAAGTCAGTCTATGGTACTCCTAACCAACTCCGGAGGGTCCAGCCCCTGGCTCTACAGCAGCCTTCAGGTATATCCCTGGATTTTTATTTTACTTTCCACAAAACCATTATCGCATTCTCCAGTTTAGATTTCCACACACATCCCCGCGCATCCTAATGCATCTCTTGGCAGGTTAAGACACTGGTAGGAGAGCTTCAAATAGGAAGTAACGTGCTCCTAGCTGGGCTGTTTATACAACTGTGCCAGCTAGCCCTCCACACGTCCTGCTTGAACCTCTAGGACACTGGAGGGCAAGCCCTCTCCCTCCATGTGGGGCTACTCATCTCTAAATTGCTGGCCACATAGGTGGCCAGCCCCCAGCTAGCCCCAGGACCAAGCCCCTCAGGAGACTGTGGGCGGACACTCGTGTCCCGGAGGCACCACTGCACCAGCCAGTGCTCCACAGCTTCCAGCACTAACGGCCTCCTGGCACACACGTTTTAACCCAAGCAGCAAGAGCATTAGCGTCCCTTCAGGAGCTGCAGTTTGTTGTCTGTTTGATTCAACCCAGCCTTGGTTGAACCAACCCTTAAATTGAACGCTTGGCTTCAGATGAACTGTCTGCTGGTGAGTTTCTGAAGCAAATGCTTTTATTTTTTAAAAAATAAAGCAGTAGCCCAACTAAATTTTACAGCAGACATACTCAAAGTCTGTCAAGCTGAAGTTCCTTTAAACGAGCCATAAGATAGGGTACCCCAAAGAAGTGCATCCAGTTCTCTTAATTTAGAGGGATTTTCTTCCGTGTTTTATTTTATCCTCAGCTTTCCAGGGGATGACATCTACCTCCTCCACAGTTCTCGGGACTGGCAGTCCCTTGCTCTTACTCTGTGCACGGTTTATTTAGTATTGTTGGGGCATAAATCAAGGAATAAAAATTCCTGGCACAGTTGTGCCAGCCCTATGTGGCCTTGCTCTCTCCGGGAGAATAAATCTACTCTCGGGGTCTCTCACAGCTGCCAGAGACTGCCACCAAACATCCCTCCAGCACACTTCACACAACTGTTGCATGATTTACAAATACTATCACTGCAAAATTTGCCACTAAACCAGTCAGCAAAAGATAGCGAAAAATTAATTTAAGAAATCTAAAATTGAATTCTAGACAGGTAGGAGGAACTTCTTAGCAGACAGGTGCTGTCATCTAGAGACATTATCAAATAATAAATGTATATTACCTTCTGCCTTGTCCACCTTGAGAGGATGAAAATTTTGGCAGCCGGGCAACTTTTCTTTGAGTTTTATAGAACAAATTCGTTTGGACCATGTCTTGAAAGAAAAACACAATGACTTAATAGTTAGACAATTTATTGTCCAGGGACACATCCTTATGTGATTAGAAAAAAAATAAAACGGAGGTAGCCCTGAATACCTCATCGCAGTGCTCTGTCTACCACCCACACCCTGCTCCAGACTGCGAAACCACTCCCGATTGTGCTGCTTCTGCTTAGAGATCAGCAAGGTCAACCACCTGCTAGCACAGGTTGTGAAGCTCGAGGCAACCCAACCACCAACTGCACCTGCACGTGCATTCGCACCCAGGCTGCCGGCCAGAGAAAACCATGTCTGATGCCAGGCCTACAGCTGGGGAGAGGTTTCACTATGATGGGGGCCATAAATCTGGATTTCCTGGCAGTGCAGGATTGTTGCACGGTGCTGAGAGGAAAGTCTGCCCTCTCTTCTTGGTCCTGTAACAATATCACAGAGCACACGGTGTGTGACATGGCTAATTATCCACTGTTTCCTCCTTTAAACTCCACTCTTTTTATTCATGCCAGGAAACAGATTTAAAGTTTGGAAAGCCAACAGGAATTTTAAGATGGGTAAATAAATTAGAAACAGAAAAGCATTTCTCATTTTTCTGATTTCTCTCTCTCTTTGCTGCACTGTGTGCTTTCTCTCCCCATAGCTAGGTGCAAGAAGTCTGCCATGGGCTCCCTTCTTCTCCATTTGACTTCTCACTGCTTTTTTTTTCTGTTTTGTTTTTTCCTTTCTCATTTCTCCTCTTCAGTTGTATAAACACAAATGCATAAGCCAGATGCCATGAAGTGTTTACTCTCAGCTCTTCATCTGAACACACAATACTGTCGGAGATGCTTTCCCGAGTATAGATGCACAGGTCTAGAAGCTCGAGCAGGGCATCTCAAAACTGCAGAGAAATGTACATACTGCTCAAGCTGTGCTTGGAGAAAACTTACCGGGGGAAAAAGACCTGTTCAAAGAAACACAGTTATAGGGTAAAAAGTCTACGTGAAAGAGGCTACTAGAAAAAGGTACCCTGTGTAATGAACTTAAAACAAGGAGATACTTCACCTTCAAAGTTTAACTCATACACCTGAGAACCAGCCCTGAATAACACAACACCCTTCTGGTCAGATAGAAATTCTTTCTCCAGATCTTCAGATGTTACTGTGGCAGAGCAGTGATTTGGATGCTACAGAAAGAACAAGGAAATTACGCCTGTTAGAAACCAGCCTTTGGTCTAGGTGACACTGCGGGGAAATACCAGTGTTTCCCCAGGCCCCTATTATGGGATGCCATTTTGAACCAAGTCTCTAAGGCTTCAAGCGTTTTGTCCTTCGGCGGCGGAGGGGCGCGCCGCAGAAAACAGCCGCTTGTAAGGAGAGCGACAAAGCAGCCTCCAGCCCGCCTGCTCAGCTCCAGCCAAAAGACGTCCATCACCTCCCGGCAGCGCCCCTGCTTTCAAAGCCAGTCCCCTGGAAGCTTTCCCAGGGTAGCAGGACTGCTTCGAGGGACAATTAACAAGTCCGGGCCGCCGGGGCGGCAGCGCAGCCCTGCGGGGGTGCGCGGCGGTGCCCGCGAAACGCGCCGGCTGCAGAGCACCGTGCCCTCAAGCACTCGCCGAAAGATGGCTTAGCAACGTGGATCTCACCTCTTCCCCGTACTCAATCCACTGCCCAGAATCGTCCCACCAGTACCAGGTGTACTCCATTTCGGGAGCAGGCGGCTGAGTTGGAAAGACACCACGGGCGCAGAGGAGCTGACCGATGCCTGGCTGCTTGCTCGGCCTTACCATCAGAAGAGAAATCCAGATTAAAGTTTTTTCCAAAGCTACCACACTATGTGATATCGCCGGTCTGGTCAGAAGTCTAATCAATTCTCAGAAAAGGAGAGCCTTCCCTCTGGGAAGTGCAGGTTTGGCCCAGAACCAAGGAAGTGATGTTTGCATGTTTATGGGGTGTGTTAAGGCTCACAGAAATGACACTGACCTCTCTGGCTTGGACCTGGGTCACAGCGTTTCTCTAAAAGATATCGTTCTAAAATCCACACTGTAAGAAAATACGACTCGACGCAATAAACTCAGCTTGTTACGTGAAGGCCAGTGGTGCCTTGGCTATCAGGAGTAAGATTAGGCTTTCGGGCAGCGTGTGATCAGCTGTAGAAGCCAGAGAGCCTTCAGAAGGCACTGGCAGCATCACCTCTCCTTTAGAGTTGAGGAAAGCAAAGCTGCCGCTCACAGGTACGGTGCTGGGTGCAGGTGCCTGGGCGCTGGCAGCGGGGGGGGCTGCAGGGGTGGCCTCTCTGAGAAGAGACCAGGACCTGGTGCCCCACACGGGACACAACCAGCTCAGCAGACCCGCTGCAGGACACAGCTGAGCCCATCCGCTGAGCTGGTGGCACCCCTGAGAAAGCTGCCCAGCAGCGGGAAGCGTGGAAAAAAAAACACGAGTGGAACAGCCCTACAGGCAGCCACGGCAGCGAAGGAGGCGAGGAGGACATGCCCCAGGCACCGCAGCACGGGTTCCCCTGCAGCTCATAAAGACCACGGTGAAGCAGGTTGTCCCCCCGCACCCCACGGGGGACCGTGGTGAAGCAGATATCCATCCTGCAGCCTGTGGGGGGCCCCGCGCTGCAGGACATGGGCATGCCCCCAAGGAAGCTGCAATCCATGGAGAGCAGTCCCTGGCAGACCAGGCTGATCCTGAAGGACCGCAGCCTGCGGGAAGGAGCCGTGCTGGAGCATGAGAAATGTTTCGGGATGAGGGAGTGGCAGAGGGCAGCGCTGATGGGCTGAGGTCACCCCCCATTCTCCATCCTCCCCCGAAGTCACTTGGCGGGGGGAGGTAGAGAGTCAGGAATGAAGGAGTGAAGTTGAGCCGAGGAGGAAAGGGGTGGTGGTGGTGGGGGGAACGTGTTGGTCTAATTTTTGGGTTTGTTTCTCACCATCCCAATCTATGGGATTATTGCCAATTAATTGGCAATAAATTAACTTTCCCCAAGTCAAGTCTTCTTTGCCCATGACAGTAATTGGTAAGCAATCTCCTTGTCTTTATCTCAACCCATTGACTTTTCCACCTTACATTCTTCGCCTGTCCTGTTGAGGAGGGGGAGTGAGGGCGGCTGGGTGGGTGTCTGGCAGCCAGACAAGGTCAAATTCCCGAGAGAGAAAACAAGAAAATCTGAAGAAAAAAAATCACTTACCAGCAAAGTCTCTGTGCTCTACCCTGGAGACACAGGACCTACAAAGGGAACAAGCTGAAACAGGTAGCCACCAATAATTCAAATACAGAGAATTTTACTCTGCTTGCTGCCGTGCTTCAAACTCCTTTCCTTGTCCCGGTTTTGGACTCAAGCAACATTTTTCTATGCATCTCATCACTTTACTGGTCCTCCAACATCACCCGGCTGTGGAGCACATACACCCAGCCGAGACCTGCCCACCCACCTGCCGTGGAGTCTGCAGGGGTCCGTGGCTGAGCTACTCAGAGCTGCCTGAAGAATCTGAACACGGTATTCAAACAGAAGCTGGGAATGACCATTTATCCAGCTCTGGCACCCTTCATGCTTTGGCAGGGATCACGAGTATTCTGACCGGGCTAATCAGAGGAAATCGTTATAGGAGGAGCTTCCTTACGGAGCTGGTTACAGTACAAAGGTCCACAAACAAAAGGCTTGGCAGCCCCCAGACTGCCAGAACAAACAGGGAGGAAAAAGCCAAGTCTCCTTCGCAGCCTTAGCGTGCACCACTGCTGTCTTCAGACCACGATTGCTCTTTGTACGAGGTACCACCAGCAGCAACACCAGCCAGGGCTGTTCCTAGAAAAATGCTCCCAATTCATTCTCTCTCGAATCCCACCGCAGGAGATTCATGAGAGATCCATCACACCTGGGAACTTTTTTTGGACGTGGCTGCCCCTTTTCTCCCCTCTGCACAGCAGTGTGCTGCTGCTGCCACAGCAGAACTTGGAGTTTCTGTGTTTGAAGCGTGGGATTTGGGAGGGCAGAGGGGAAACGGAGGAGAAAGCAGAGGAGTTGATGTGTCCAGGCAGCTTTTCTTCACTGCCCTCCCCACCTCTGTTCCCTCTCTCCCAACTCCACAGATAGATGCAAACCCCTGCCAGCTCCCCTGCCGAGAGCCAGGGCTCCCAGTCAGCTTTTCAGAATGGCCAGTTGTGCCCTACTTTCACTTTCACTTGCCAGACAGCCCTTCTGCTCCTTGTAGGGAATTTCCACACACCAACTAACCCCAAACAGAAAGAAACAAAGGTGAAACACCTAATAAAACAGACCAGTGAAATATTTCACTAAGACAGGTAGTGTCCTTCACCTTTGGCTGAAGAGTTTGCTATCCAGTCTTGTGCAACTGAGAGACACCCCGTAAATTTGCTTTTTATATCTCCACAGGAATAGCTTTATACAGAGGAAATTTTATACATAAAAAAAGCAACTTCATGCCACCTCTTTTCTTACGCACTTCTCCCTCGCCTGGGAGAAAGGATGAATTAACGAACGTGTAAACGCAGCTTACAGTATGACTAACAGCGAGCAGGTATCCTTAAAGCCAAGCCCACAAACCATGAAATCCCCAACCTCTTTCCTCCCAGCTCGGCAGCACCCTGGAAAAGCTGCCAGAGCCCCGGCACGCTCCCCAGCTCCCGTACTCACGGTCCTGCTGCTGGGCCGCCCAGCCACCACCCTCCGGGAGCCGAGGGCATCACCCACACGCCCGCCCCTCAGACGAGCCCTGGGAACCCTTGTTCCACGTGCAAAAGGTCCCCCCGGGGGGTGCAGTTAAAACCCTTGGAAATGAAATATGACTGGCCTGTTCGAGCTCCCCGCGAGCTCCCAAGCGCGCGCTCGCGCCTCGCCGTCCCTCTCCGCGGGACGTCACAGGTGCCGCTCCGCTAGCCTCCGACCCTTAAGGAAACAGAGCTGAGTAACATTTCCTTCTGGTTATTGCACCGCACGCATGCGCATCTGCCAGGCATGAGCAGACCGGCCAGGCACAGCTGATGCTCTTGGCAGATGCATCAGTAAAAATCAACATCCTTGCGAACGGACATAGTTCATCCCTGCAGCTTGGTTCCTGCTGTTGCTCGCCAGCACTTACCTTGAGCTCATTCCTCCCATCCTTCCCAGTGGCTGGGGATACTGAAGACCTTCTCCTCTCAAGATTCCTGCCGGGAGCAGCTTCTGCTGAGCGTCATTCTTTGAAAGCCAAAAGCGTTGCCTTGCAAAGCGGACCCCAAAACCTACAGTGCAGGAAGGGGGTGCATCGTTCAACGCTCTCTTCGCACAGGTTCTTGCACCGTTCGGGGGGGCTGCAGTGCGCAGCGCTGCCCGGAGCTGCCCAAAGCAGTGCAAACCAGGCACAGAGCCCCGGGGGGGGGGCAGGCTCAGTCAGCCCCCGCAGAGCTTCTGCCACGTCCCGAGTGTTTGTGCTCCTTTATCGCCAAGCTTGAGCCTCCGCTTTGTTCTTCCCCACGGAAATCAGAGAAGGGTTTGGAGCTTTCCCGTCTGACCTCTCGGCCTGAAAGGCTGACAGCGTTTCCCAGCAGAGCTCTGAAGCATAAAACCTAATGGCAAGTCAGGTAGCACTACCTACATAAACTTGCTCAGATGCAAACTTTTTGGTTTGTTTTGTTGTACAAATCACGTTCGGTTGAATTGCCCAGAACATTTTTATTTCCTGATGATCCAGTCAGACCAGATCAGTAGTGGCTGAAACACGTAAATCTCTGGTTATGTCTATGGAAAGACTGCACTCTCAGGGCATTTTATAGACATAGTATTAAAAAAAAACTAAAACAAAACAAAAAAACCCCACCACAAATGTGATTATGAAGTTGAACTTTGTTTCTTCCCCATCTGGCCTTTCTTGACTGGCTTTTGACCTCCCATATAGTTATCTGGCTCCCATCTCCACAGCTGTACTTTTGTGCTTCCCCTCGACTGATGAGATTTATCGGATCAGGTCCCACCGTTTCATTTTTTCACATGTGAATTCTCTAGTAAAATACTCTTCTGAACTGAAGCCAAAAGTTTCAGTAGGCATGAGATATCAGCTCTAGGAAAAAACATCCTGGCTTGGTAGAAAATGTTTATGTAGCTTTGCTGGGAGCAGCATACCATCCTCTCTAAAACCAAACAACTCACCGCCAACTGGAAACGTGAGCTCATTGTAAACAGATACCTTCTGAACATTATACTTTTTATTTTCATCACTTGTAATTGCAGTGTCATCCGTACACCTGTTGAACCTCTGATTTCTAACTGTGAATGTAACTGTGGTACTATATCTGTCTGCATTTCCAGTACCTGACAGGTCTTGGAGCAGACATCCTGTGTATAGCCCTGCAAGATCATATTTCTTCACAGTCAGCAGAGGCACCCAAGTGTGGTTTCCCTGCATACGTAAAAATGATTTATCATGTACAAAGAAACCGTGGTCCAGCAGGTAGGATTACTTCTTTTCCCTCCAGGAATTTAAATTCTTGCTCCCTTTTTCTCTTCAGAGGAAACGGACAAAACAAGTGACGGTCTCCCCCTTCCTCTGCGTCTACCCGCGGGCACACAGCAGCTCTGTTGCCGTTTCAGACCCCTCCAAGGTTCGATGCGCGAGTGCTGACGCCACGGCGTGGGCACACTGTGCTCACAGGGGTCCCGCAGCACCCCACGCTCCTACCTCAAGACGTGGAAAACCCCCCCCAAACTAGTACCTAAGGCTATGTTGGGGTGCTGGGGCTCACCTGGCTCTCTGAGGTCCTTCTCCAGGTCGGTTCCCCAGCCGCTCACAGTGGGGTTTGGCGGTGGGAAGCTGTGCTGGAGTGGGGGGTTCAGCTTCAGCTGACCCACGTCCGGGAGCCTGGGAACATTTCCAGATCCCACCTGAAGCCACACGATCATTTAAAACTGGTGCCTTCTCCTGTAGGTCGTGATGGTTTTCCCAGTAAGACCGGATTTCCTGCTGGGCAGTGTCCAGCAGCTTGTAAATTAATCTGGGGAAGGGGGGGAAAAAAGCCCTGCAACCACGCTGATGCTATCCCAGCTTAATTTAGCGCAGGAACGGGAAGCAGTCATAACAAGAATAATAATTCTCAATTGCTTTGGAAAAAAAAACCCCAACTTATTTATTTCCAAATCTTGATGGCGAATTTTACAAGTTTTGGTAGATTACATCGGGTTTGTAAATGATACTTTGGTTTTACTCTAAGTACATAAATGCTTGATAGAAAAGATTTAAAATGCTCCACGTTCTGCTATTCCTCTCTCCAGCGGTCATTAGAGGAGTCTCAGCATGCTACTTCCCATCTTTTAGGAAAAGATTAACAATGAAGTGATTGGAAACAGCTAACTGATATTTTATATGGACATAGCGTTGCCACATTAATAATGTCAACCAAGGTAATCCAAAACCAGAAACCTTTCTTATGTCAATAGCTCAAGTGAGCATTTACGTATCGATTCAGCAAGTCATCTGACGGCAGATTTAAAGCTAAAGCTCTGACATGAAGTCTTTCATGTCTTCTCACAGTACCAAAAGATGCGCTTATTCAGGAATCTGCTCGAGTCTCATCAGCGAGCTTGTCTAACTAAAGGAGAAATTGTATTTCACTGGAGTTGGGCCAAAATCTGAATTTTCAATTTCACTGGTAGTGCCAGGTGAGGAGCGGGGCTGGGGAGTTGGGGGAGGGATCAGGATCTATTTTGTCATGCTCTTGTTGATATTTAACTGATTTTTTTTAATGTGTTCATACATTTTGAAATATAATTTCGGAAAAATAAAATTCAAAATTGAAATACTATTTCAAAGCAAAATAAACTTATTCTGCTTATACAATAGTCAAAGCAAAACATTCTGACCTTCATATTTGTTAATATTTGAATTTCAAAGGGTTTTCAAATAGCTTCTCATTAGTCTGAATCGGCACTTTCTGGTGAATGAAGTTTTATCCCTCTGACTCCTACTTTCTCATTCACCTACCTTATTTTTAATTTGCTCGTCCCCACCCATTTCCCATCATAATGCTTGTCCACAGCATGGCTACTACAACGCTTCAAACTGAAAACTGCATCTGGCTTCCCTCTATTGGGCTCTAAGCTCTGCAACATGCTCCCTTCCTCTATTTGCCAATTTAGGAAATTAAAAAATAAAAATAAAACTAAAAATAATATATATATATATATATTCACACGCACTATTTTACTGAGGACTGGGCTAAGCTACAAATTAGGATCTTAGTTTCAAAGACATTCTGCAGGCAAAGCAAGCTCATTTCAGAGAACTAGATTGTTCTGCTGAAAAAGAAAAGGGCAGAAACAGATGTGACACGCTCATCCCAATTGGCAAGCTCAGGAACACTTGCAGCAAGGTTTTTGCTCGGGCTTATCCTCATTTGTAATGATTAAAAGATTAAGACCATGGCCTGCTTTTGGTAGGGTCAAAGGTATCATAAACGAAGTAAGTAGATTTTATCTTCTCCTATGAGTTCTGTGAGTTCTGATGTTTTTTTCTCAGTAAGTCTTGATTTCTTGTTGGACTACTTCCAGCAGTAACTGTAGTTTGCGTGTAAGATAATCTGAAAAGGGGGAAAAAAAGGAAGAAAGTTTAGTCCAGAGGAAATCTTGAGATATGGCTGAAAATCACAGTGTCAGCACCGATGGCCGGAGCACTTTATGTTAGCAGATCCCTGTATCCATTTCTGTTCTTGCTGTGCATTTTCTTCTATTCAGTGGTTACTTACAGACGTCGGCCCAACATCAGATCAAAAGAAAACAAGATTAATAACTGAAATTATTAATTAAACTCAAAATTGGGCTCTTCTTTCTGAGTAAATCGTTGTGCCACCAGAGCTACCCCCAAAGGCAATCTGCGCCGGAGTTGCATGAAGCGGAGATGTATTTCATTTACACACCCACATCTGTGCCTTTTCACCAAACAGATAGCCCTCAGGCAGCACGACCTTCTCCCAGCAGTCCTCTCCCCAGCCCCGCAGCAAGTATGTTTGCACACAGGGTTACAGTGTCTGCCTGCCAGTCCCTCCATTCCTAATTTTTCACCTTGTCGCTCAGTGTCAGCCAAATTTGCCTGGGAGGTGGTGATGCCGAAGATACGACAAGGTTTGGCACCCCAGCCCTGGTTTCTACTGAAGTGACCTTCTCCTTTCCTCCCGTTGGGAGACCCCAGCCCTGTCTTTTTTTAAAACAGAGCACGAAGCTGGCTTATCAGTACATTCACAAGCCAGGCAGACCCAGCCCGTGCCTGGCTGCCAGCCGCCCGCAGCACAGCCCACCCCTCGTCTCTTCGGCCGCGGAGGCCGTGTCCTGGGGGAAGCCACTGAAGGGCTGGCAGGGGTCACGATTTAGGTTTCACGTGGCCTGTTGGCCATGGAGCAGTTGGCACTAGAGATGAGCCCTGGGAACAAGCCAACGTCCCCACCCCCCAGCGCACGTTTAGGCCCAGAACAGTGGAATTCAAACACATACTTACAAAATGGGCTACTGCAATGTCTTGACATTTGCCTGTGGATTATGAGGTAGTAGACTGGAAAACCGCTTAAAACCATGGTGCACCCGATGCTAATGTTCACGGGGTCTGAGTAGAAAGACATTGCCACTGTGAAGAGGCAGATGACGGTAAAAGAGACAGGAACGAACAGAGGAACCTGGGGAAAAGAGCACAGAAGACTCTCAGGCAAAACCAGTGGCTGTAGCAAATCAGTCTCCATCCGTGCCAGCACACACTGTATTAACTTCTCCATCTTCAAGAAGATGAGAAAAATCACACAGCTGTCCTGCACACTGTTTCTGTACAACCAGTTGTGAACGTGTAGGATGCATAGAAGAAAAATTGATTTGTATCATCCTCAGAGCCCAGTGTGCCCTGTGAGGCTGCATGCCTCCTATATTAGTGTAAAAAAAGATAAACCTCACTTGCAGCTGGAAGCCAAGGAGGGGGAGAAGTCTTCTAAACCCCACTGCCCTCTGGACATACCGCTCCTGTGCGTGCCCATGCACACCAATCTACTTGCCACCTGCCGCAACTGCTGGTGGAAAGCCTGAAGCCGAGAGTAAAAGCATCACTTTGAATCAAATCGTTCTTCGATTATAACACCCGCGACTCATTTTCACCTGCCTCCAGCTTGCCTGAGACTTAAAGTGGCCAAAACAGGATAAACCAGACTCCCTCTCTCTATAGCACCTGCATCAAGAACATGAGCTTCAGTGTCGCCCTGATGAAAGACCAAAGAAGCAGTCAGCACTTCAGCCTTACCCCGTTGGGTAATCCGGCTCATCTGGGTTATTTGGAGAATAAATTGGAAGACTGCAATAAAAAATAAAACTCAGGCTTTGGATCCAACCTCAGCCAAGTTACTCCTCGCCGCGGCTGATGGAATGAAGGATTTGCTCATCTCAAGTAGGGTGGCAATCTCTTTCCCGGTAACAGAGATCCTATTTTGGATGCTGACCATGCCGAGCTGGAAGAGACCAGTTGTTCCAGCGGTGGCAGCCATCCAGCCACCAAACGTAAGTGCTCTTGGGGTCCCTCCAGCCGGAGCCCCCCCTGCCAGCCTCACCCGCTGCACATCTCCTCGAGAGGTGAGTGTGTGTGAGGGGACCCCTTCCTCCTCTTACCGGCGTTTTCTCACCGTTTTTAACTCAAAAGGCTGCGGGGGGGTTGAAGAAGTACCAGCACGACCGTGGGGGTTTATGACTGGTGCTCCCTCGGCTGGTGGCCGGAGACGACCCGGTCCGTGGCCACTAGAGCGCAGCACTCGCCCGCGGCACCTGCGCTGGCGGGCAGCTGGGCTTCGGGTCCCAAAAGGTTATAAAAATTAGGAACGGGCAGGAGGGGAATCTCCCAAACGGACCGAAAACCCAGCATTTCCCCTCCCTCGCTTCATCTGCTTTAAGGAACCGCTAAAAGCCTAAACCTCTGTCTAAAACAAAACGGGGCGAAATCTCAGCAGCTGACCACGTCACCAGTGTTATCTGCTAATAAATATCCCCTGAGAAGCTTGTTTTAAAAGAAGAGGAAACTTATTTAAAAGCTGGTTCCGGGTGAGGACACGGCTGCAGCCAACCAACACCATGGGAAGCTTCAAGGTCAATGGTTGCACCCAAGCTGCTTTCCACGATACGGTATTTCTGTGCCAGCTGATGATGCCCCTTAAGTCAGGTTTGTTCCCAGGGTCCCCCCGGCCATGCTGTTTTCCCCCAAGTCTGACACCCTCCTGCTCCCCGGATAGAGCTGGGACTTGGCTACCACTGAAATAACATCCAGGCAAGCGTCCCTCCTTGCAGCCCCTGAGATGTGAGTGTGGCAAGTGCCTCCTGTGCACCTCCCAGTTCCCAGCCTGAAACTTTGTCCCCCCCTGGAGCAGCCTGCCGTCTTACAGATGCTACCAGTGGACACCACGTGGAACCACTTTTATGGGAATTACCACATCTGGCCGGCTGGGCACATCAGCCAACCTCAGGAGCTCCCCACTGAGCAATAGGGATGGCGACCCCTCAGAGCCTCAAGGCGACCACGGCCACGTAATGTTCTAATTATTACCAAATAAGAGAGAGAAATGACAAGCCTGCGCACTGCTGGCTGTTAGACACATGCCGTGGGTTACCTGGAAGGGGCTGTGCAGCTCTGGGTGGCGGTGGCGATGGACAATGAGCCCGAGGGTGGCTAATCCTATGAAGAGCCATCGGGAAAAGCTGAAGAAGTTCATTAGATGGTAGATATCTCCGATACACACCATGGCAGTAACCAAAGGGAACTGAGCATTGTGAAGATGAAATACAGTCGTTAAGGCCTTGCTACAGTCCTCAGGCTAGAAAGGGTAATATGGATCACCCCCCCTCCAGCCCCCCTGCAATCACTGGCAGATACTTCCCAGGCCCAACATTTCAGAGGTCAGAGATCTTTACAAAACAGTGTCATGGACTGAAGGCAAAAGGCCTAAACACACTATTATGACGTGCTACAGAAAGGAGCAATCCTTTCAAGATGAGCAGCACCTTTGATGCTTTATGTCCTAGGCAGTGTAATTAAAACATGCATGATCCAAAAGCCCATGCTGCCAGTACAAAGGCTACCTACAAAGATACCTGCTAAGTTTTTAGCAGGTCAGCCTAGCTGCAAGAGGCACTGCAGCACAGTTGGGATGGAGTTGAACCATTGCTGGGAAAAAAATCAAAACAAACCAAAACCAAACCAAACCAAAACAACACTCCCACCCCCCCCCAAAAAAAAAAAAAAAAAAAAAAAAACGAAACCTAAACAGAAACAACATTAAAACAAACAAACAAAAAAAACAAACAAAAAAAAAAAAACAAAAAAAAAACAAAAAAACAAAAAACACACACCACACAAACCCACACCAAAACTTAGAGCATCTTTGCAAATGCTCGTTGCCGGCATTTCCACCACACCTGAGAATTTCAGTTTTCCAAATAGCCAAAGCCCAACAGAGGTGTTTTCGTATGACAATATCAAGCAGCAACTGCGGCAGATGGTAGGGACAGCATTTTTAAAAAAAGGTGTCCAAGGTTATAAGGCAGGGACTTCAAGGGAGTAGGTTTGGATACCACTGCTGGCAGAAGGGAACTTATTACTTTGCAGCCATTTCCAGCATTCCATCTTCTCTATTTTTCAGAGGCTGTCTCAACACCTTTTAAAACTCCTCAGCTTCTCCAGGCTTTGCAAGAAAGCCAAGACGGCAAGAACAGGGCGTGTTACAAAGCCAGATCTCCTTACCATTAACATGACAGCAGGAAGGGGTGTATGTCTTCGAATGTGGATCATGGAGAAGAGAGGCGGCCACTGTCCTTCCCTGGAAGCCACAAACAGAGTCCTAGGAAAAGGCAGGGAGCCCTGTGCATTAGCATCCCACATCCAGACTAAAAATGAGAATATCAGTTGCTGGACTGACCTAAGGTCACAAGGCATCCCACCTCCACACACCACCCCCCCACCCCCCCCCAGCACAGGTCTGCTATTCAAGGCAAAAGTTCTGCCTTTAGCCGCACTTTTGGGGCATTTGGAAGAAAAACCCAGTGTTGAATTCCCATAGCTCTCCCAGGACCAGTTAGTTCAACACAGTGCAGAGCCCGCCAGCAGGAATCCCCTTGGGTGGCCCTTTAGCAGAGACCTTTGGGCAAGTCCAAAGTGACCATGAAGGAGTTCAGGCTGGAAACAGAAGTAAGAAAGTTTCTTGCCATCAGAGAAGGGGTACATCTTTCCAGTAGGAAGTGGAGGGGTCACAAACTTCAATTCTTTATAAAAGAGGCTGATGAGTGGATGATAGGGGATTGTCAGTCTTGATGCCAATATATTATATATATATATATATATAAATAAGGTGCAATTTCTGCAAATAATAGAGGATTTTCAATCCTCTAGCCAGCTGTTGGAAAATACAGTTTGGTGTACTGCAGAGAGGCCAGCTACACACAAGACCAGCTACTATATGACAACAGAGAGCTTCCTTGCCTCCATACCTCCTTTGACTCACGAAAGGGAGCAGACATTGCATCCAATTTTATAAATTTAATATCCACAAACAAATCATGCCAGAGCATCAGCTGGGCTGGAGCAGGGCCCGAAGCAGCTGGGGCATGAGTGTAAAACTGGGTTTTATTGCTGTCTCTGTGGTTTTGCAGGGGAGTGGCTGGCCAGCAGCCAGGGAGGCCCCATCACTGTTTATATGGCCTTTCCACAGTGATTATGTTAATGGTGCCAGGATGGGGGAGAGAAAGGTGATAAGGACAGGCAGGAACCTCTGTGCTGTCTGGGGGCTCCTCATCCTCAAAGAAAACCACTATCTAGAGGAGATAATGGGGAGGATGCTCCACGCCTGTCTTTAATACAAGATTTCAGGGCAGTGGGTCAAATAACTCATTAGGTTTTGCACCGTGAAACATCCCTTTCATATCAACTGATTTTTCCTTTTGTAATCAAAGCTGTGAAATGGAACTGTCTCCAGAGAGTTCACTCAGCTCCTCAGGACCAGCACAACACAATTCTCCGTGAGCTCTGCCCTCCTCTCCAATTTCAAGGCTCCCATAAGGACATGCAGTGTGGTACCCAGTGAAGCTGGTAAGATCGTTTTTCCATTGAACAAAGCTTTTCTTACTGCTACAACAAGACTTGTTGAGCCTCGGCTATTGCTTTAGGAATAGCCCGTCCCTGATAACATTTCACTGACCTCAAAGCAAAGTCCTCGGGGGAGAGTTTGCCTCTGGCCAGAGGTCCTCACAACAGAGGGACCCTGTGCCCTGCAGCAGAGCAGCTGGGTGAACCCAGCAACAGAAGACGAGGTCTCACTGAGCAGCTGCCAACATCAACAAATCCTCCAGTTCACCAGAACCGCTGACATTACACTTTAAACTTGGGATTTAAACTGAAGGGTGGGGAGAGAGATGAAAATCCGTGTTTGTGACCAGCCCCAGATACCAAAGTCTGGACCTGGCCAGAAATAGAAAGGGTAGATTCTTAGCCAAGAGGGATCATCCTGTAGTTGACATCCTAGGAGTCAAAGGCCTTAATTTTCCCACAAGAGTGGCTAAAATGCCATCGCATGGGTGGGAAGCTGCACAGGTCACTGGTGCTTCCCTCCAGTTCGGTAAGCCAAAAGAGTAATAAATTCTTAGGGACTTGACCTTGAAAACGTGAAGATCCCTCCATTCATGGTTCCAAAGCAGGACAGTGCAACGAGGACAGGGACCACAGAGATCAGGCTTTTGAAGGCTCGTTGCACAAAGCTCTGGAGAAAGAGCAAGCACGACTTTAGGAACATGTGGTCATCTCTCATCAGCTCCAAAGGAAAGAAAAGTTCCTCCATCGAAGGAGTAAAACGTAACTCATAAATCTTACCCTTTCTAGTGTCATCTGCAGATTATTTTTAATTATCTTTTAGGCAAGAGTAGAAGAAGTTACTGTTGCCTAATAATCGGAGAAATGACAAAGCAATAAAGCATTTTATAGGAAAACCATCTCCAAAACACTTGCCGTGACCACCCCTTGAGCATAAGCTGGCCACACCGAAGAAAGATAACTGTAGGGATGACAACTCACCACAGCCACTGCAGGAGAAGCCAGAACGTCTTGCATTCCCAGGACCGTGTAATAGGAGACGTTGGTGAGCATGTACCCCACGATTACTGTGATCACAGACACGATGACAGCCAGGGGGATATTTCTACAAGAAAGGGGAAGAGGCAGACACAAAGAGCAAGCTGTTATCCCTTGTCGCACACAGTATTGCTGCTGACGTTGGTTAGGTGAACCCACAAACATATTTCCTCCCATATGACATTTGGGAAAGCTGCAGTACTCCAGAGGCCTCTAACCCAAGACAACTTCTTCCCAGCCTCACCGTTCAGGTCTGACCAACTCCTCACGCACGAAGCTCGTCTGAAACCTGCATGGCGGGAAGAGACAGGGAGAGAGCTTGAGCCACGTCTCAAACACCAGCCTGCTGCCCGGGAAGCACCCTCCTGTCACACCTACCAGCCTGAATATGCAAACATGCCTGCGTAAAAAGCCAGGGGCAGCTTATCCAAAACCAGTGACTGTCTGTCAAAAGCATCCTGGAAGTTTTCAGTGTGGCCTGCGGAAGAGATAAACAACGGACACAGAGCAGGGAAAAAATCAGAAGTGGGCTTCCTTCCCGCAGCATAATGCCCCTTGTTCCTCTTGCCCAGACCTGGGAAGAGCGTTTGTGACTTCCTTGGAGCCGGGTATTCAGATTTGTTTAATTGCTTTAATTTGCAGTGCTGTTCTGGTGCATTTACTTCACAAACAGCGACAGGACAAATCCATCCCCCATCCAGCTACGGGAGACATTTCGGGAAGGGCAACAGCGGCGGCTGGTTCCGTTTCAGGCAGAGCCTGCTGTGGGAACGAGAGACCGTGGAGACGAGAGGACCCAAGTCGTCCTGTCCTTTCTTTAGGCTTCAAATTAATTGGCCACGTTGACCCCCCTCATCCCCCTCTCCGGCCCCTGAAGCAGCTGGATGCGCGCTCCTCTTCGATGCGGTGCAGCCAGCGAGGCGGCTGATTTGGCTCCGGCTGTGCTCCCTCCTGATCCTGACACCAGAGAGCTGGCCCCAGCCCCACGGCGGCCGGAGCGCGGGGACAGGGATGGAGCTGGGAGCGGGGACTGGGGACCACCGACCAGCCTGGACCCCCCGCTCCGGGCACACTCCCCGCGCCCCTGCCCCTGCCAGCCACTGCGCCTCGCCTGCAGGAGGAGGAACTGAGGACACAGAGGGCAAAGCAAATAGAATTTTAAAAGTAGAGGTGGCTCAGACAGAGATCCCATTTTGCCAACTCCCACAGTTTTCCTAGAAGTTGTCTGCTTGATATAACAACAACAAAATCAAAGTCAGGATTTTGCATAGGAACCGTATTTTATCCAACTCCAAAAAAACCTAGGGAAGGGAGAAACACCTAGTAACCCCCCATTCAAAGGAAGACCAATAAAAAATGCAGTTAAAAAGAGTTGTATTTCCAACACTTTGAAAGCCAGGTGACCCAAGGTTTGGTTCCCCATCTATATTCAGTTCTCCATACCAAAGTCTCTTTAAAAGTAAAAGGTGCGGAGCACTTCTCAGTTGGGCTGTGCTGGGGAGAGGATAAAATGGCACGAGGCACATGGAGAAAGTCGAGCCACTTCCATGGAGGTGCTTCTGCAAGGACGTCTGTGATGAGATTTGGGCATCTGGGTTTGAAACACAGGCCCAGCACACCTCTAAAGCAAACCTGAGCCAAATGGAAGGTAATGGCAGGGGAAAGGACAAGAGTGTAACCAAAAAAAAAAAAAAAAAATAATAGAACAAGACAAGGGAATCAGGCAAACTGATTCAAAAGCACAAAGCCGATTTTTAGGCACATAAAACAAGTCAAAAAGAAAATAGATTTGAAGAAAATTAAACCAAAATATGGGACTGGGTCTATGGGTGTAGTCTTTTTATGTTCTAAAATGATTGCTGATAAGTGATGGTGAATAAAAAGGATTTATTGTCTGCAGTACATTAATGAGTGATTTACAGTCCCCCAGGAATCACATTAAATACAACCTGTCATACTGGGGTCTCTTGGTGTATTCTGCCTCCAGATGTCACCGGCACTTATCCTCCTCACCAGAGGAAGGGTGCCAGGGCTCCAGATTGTCATTTGAAGGCATTCCTGACAATAACGGCTTGGGACTTCTAGCTGCAGGGCAGTCCCTCGGTTCAGAAGTGCTGCCAGCCCGAGTGGATCTTTGCAAGTTCAAAGGAGCGAGCTCCAGACATCAGAAAAAAAACAAAAAAAACAAAAAAAACAAACAAGAACGTGGAGGCTACTGCCTCTGCAGAGGAAGGTAACAGCATGGGGAGGGAGCAGACTTCATCCCCTGAGTAGGAATGCCTTGGTCTTTTTGATAAACAGAGGCTTGGATTAAAGCCAACACTCTTCTATCATTCCCAGAAGGAATGACTGGTAGGTTTTTTTCCCCACTCTGGATGTGAATGTGTAATCCTGTACGAGTCCATTGTAAGTTCACTAAGTCACTGCCCATCTCAATTAGGAGGTAAAAACCATTAGCTTAAGCCACCGGAGGGTTAGAGATGCAGTTGCCAGGGCTCGGCTGAGGCTGGTAACTCGTCACGTCACCACAGGGTGCTGCCACGCAGCCCTGATGTCCATCAGTCTGTGCTGCTGTGGAAGGATTTCGAGCCACGCTGGAAACAGGGGAGTCTGACACCAAAGAAAGACCCTCTGCAGAGGGAAGGGGCCGGCGCGCCCCTGGGGAGGCTCACACAGCCTCGGGCACTGGGACTTGCCCAGTTTTGGAGAAAGCAGGGCTGAGCCAGCTGTACCAGCCCAGCGCAGCCCTGCAGCTTGGTGTCAGCTGCCCCGGTCTCAGCTCCCAGCACACAGGCAGAGAAAGCTCCCGGCAGCTAAAGGAGTGCCACACTTGTCACTAGGGCACAGGTAAAAGCTCTCGAGCATGTCGAGCACCCTCCCTCAGCCACGCAGCAGCGCACCTACCCTGCGCCAGCAGCATCATCCCTGGCACGATGATGAGCGCGAGAGCCAGGAGTTTGACAATGGAAAGAGCCGTCTGCAGCCGGGCACTCCAGGTGACGCTCCAGGAATTGAGGGTGAGGACCATGTCTGGAGAGGAGAACACACGGCTACAGCTGCAGCCCACGCTTGACGCACGCAGGGGGAAAAAAAAAATAAAAAAATAAAAAAATACAACAGCGTTCCCTGCTCTGGGGATGCCGGGAAGAAGACTGTGTCTTTACAGAGAGGATGCTCGGGGTGAGAGATGTCAGAAAACGTTACAGACGTGGCCCAGGGTACAGGGTTTGAAGTGGGAAATGAGTTATGCTCCTATGAGGGACCAGGAGGCTGGTTGCTGTCGGGTGATCCATGCCTGCCTGGTGGGGGGGGGGTGGGGGAGGAGGTGTGAATTTGCAGGGACATCTCAGCAGCCCCCTTCACAGCGGTCCCTGTGCCAGCACACACCAGCCCGGAGCAGGCAGGACAGCTTCACAGGCTGGGTGCACCAGAAGTCCAAAACCTTGAGCCTTAAACCCTCAACCCGGGTGGCTTTTGCACAATTATAGATGAAGAGTTCCTACTCCCGTACTCGGCACGATCCTTCCAACCTAGGGCTCCAGCTGGTCAACAGGGAAGCCCATTCCCCTTCTTGGAGAATAATTGCGGCCCCAAACCAGTGCCTCGGATCGGGATGTTCTGGGTGGCCAAGGGGGTAAGAGGGGACCCCGATCCCAAAGTTACCCCCGAAGATAACACCCTGTAAGCGCCTCTGGTGTGGGGCAGAGAGGCTCTGAGATTGGCAGTCCCGTAAAAGTTAGTACTTACAGTACCCCAGGAGAGACACGAGCTTCACAGCAGGGACAGGGGCTGCACAGGGGGCAAAAAACGGCTCCAGCATATAGCGTCCAAATGCCAAAGAAACCACAGCACTGTTGGCAGGCCTGGGGGTGGGGGGGGTGAGGGGGGAAGAGAGAACAAACTGTGGTCTGCAGACGGCTGAAAAATGGCATGATGCAAAAGTGCACAAAACTCGGGGGAGGGAGGGGGGCGTGGGGGTGCATTTTCCCCATTCGGCTTTAATCCTGCTCTCCCATGCAGATGGTAAATTCCCGTAGAGTTTTTTTCATAGCTTTTTCTAAGTAAATGGGTTAAAAAAATCACATTGTAAAAAGATTCGTTCCCAACTTGAAGGCAAAATTTGAGATTAATCATATTGAGCAATGTGGTGCGGTTCGTATGTCCTGCTTCATCTCGGTTTACATGAAGGACACAGGTTATTGAGAGGTGAAGACTTTCTATACAAAGTTAAAAAAATAACTAATTTACAATTTTCTAAAATATTATTTAACTCAGGGCTAAGCCAGCCAGTTTTCTCCACAGGAGACTCCAAAGAAGTCTCACAATGAAAACAGAAGTTCTGACATAAATCTGGCCTCTACTGTCAGTTTCTGAAAAATACCATGGCTCTTGGAGGATACCAGCTGCCAGCGGAGAAGAGAGGTATTTTTCAAGTACAGATCCCATTGAACACGTGTAGCTATTTACTCATTATGCCTTCTTCCTTTTACCACTGAAAACATTTAAAAGTAGTTCAGGATTGTTTCTTCTTTTTTTTACAAACTTTCTTTTAGCTAGGCCGTTACCTGGCACAATAAACTCTGGAGTTTTTTTGTCATGGTGTCCAGCAAAAGGCAAAAACCCCATAAAATTCTCTTACCTGATAGCAAAAAACTCTGCCCACAGGAATAAGAAACTTGGCAGAGGCCCCAGTGTCTCCAAAATGTAGATATAATGTCCTCCAGACTTGGTGATTCTTGTTCCAAGCTCTGCATAACACAAGGCACCTGGAAAAGTTCAGGTAGAAACGCAATGAGTAAATCATCCCATGGAGTTTCTTTTCTGTGTGACTTTTCAGGGATTGAATGAATCTGTTTAAAATAAGGAGTGAATTAGAGGAAGAAAAGGGGCTTTAGCAGAACAGCTCCTCCCTATTTTTGTGTGCTGCAGTGTTTTGGAAGTACATTTTGAAGTAACTGACTTCTGACAAAAGGAAAGAAATTCTCCATTTTCTGGTCAATGATACAACTTTGCCATGGAAGTTACGTAGAAGGGTGTGCAAGAGAAACATTGCACTAAGCTACAAGAGGTTTCCTTTGAAAAATGTCCCGGAGGTTTGGGTTCTCGCTTCTCCTCCCAGTTAGACCGGTGAACCGGTGCTTACGAAGCAGTTACAGCCTTGTAACAGCAGGCTGTGGCTGAACAGGTCGTTTCACCCGTGTTTTTAATCACAGACCCCATTCCCAGTGTCCTCGCTTTGCATCTTCACATAAATCCCTTCCTCCATTCAAAGACGCCGGGCAGAGGACCTGGGAGGGCATCCCCGCCGAGAGGGAAGGCCTGCCTGCCGGAGCAGGACACGGCCCCGAGGGTGCAGAGCGAGGGGAGCGTCCCCGTCAGGGGCTCAGCCGGTCTCTTCTCACCCGTCGGTGTACGAGGGCACCCCCAGACCTGGGGAACAGCCCGTCCCCGCCCCAACAAGCGCCTCCACGCCTGCCCTGGGGCACAGCAAGAAACCCCGGGGGGAGGCGCAGCAGAGAAGGCAGCCTGAAATTTTCAGGCAAGCGGATAGAAACCTTTACGCCCCTGCCTGTGCCAAAAACACCCCACCTGTGTTTTCTCTACAGAGCGATTCATCACGCCGTTTGGACGCGTCCAAGTACGAACCTTCGGTTCTGCCTACACTGGATTCACTTGCTAGGTTAAACATCCTTTTTTTTTTTTTTTTTTCACCGAAAGAAAAGACGAAACGCTTCGCTTCTCTGAGCACAACTCTCCTTGCAGCGGGTCTGGGAGCTGTTGGGATGTGACCCCGTGGGCTAAGGCCACCTCTGGCCGTGCGAGCCGCTACTTTGCCCGGCTCAGGCGGCCGTGGAGGGAGAGCACAGAGGAGCCCCGTGCTGATATGGATGTGGCCACGTCTCCAGGTCCCGGTGGCAATCATGCCATATTCAGGCCATGCCCATGGTGAGGACCTCCATTTCGCCCACATCTCTGCTGACAAATTTGTGCAGGATCCTTGTTCAACGTGTAGGATAGAGGCGGACACCTCGTCTTGTTTATTCCAGTGGGTCTCTCTACATTCTTCAAGTGTACGTTTAAGTGCTTTGCTGAACTCATGCAATGGGGCTCATATAAATGCCATACTTGAAAGAAAAGAGAAAAAAAAAAAAAAAAAAAAAAAAAAAGCAGTAAAGAAAGCAGGCCTTTTTAATGTACTGTAAAAAAAAAAGTGTCAGAGATACGATCAGGGGAGGTCATCAGGATGATGAAAGGGAAGAACAAACCAACAAATGTGGCTACAGTAAGTTGATAAAAAGGCTCCCAGGGCCCTTCCAGCAGAGTCTATCAAAGGATGCAATGGAGAGAGAAACCTTTCCAAGTGCAGAGCTCAGGCTATGTGATCAGCACACACGTTAGCATTTATTGCTCTGCTCAGTTAAAAGAAACACTGTGCTCACATTATATTTTAAGATTTTCCTTACGCAAAAGTATATCATTCGCCAAAAACCACACATAGGCTGCAACACGAAATATTGGTAAGCATGTGCTAAGAGCGAAACCCACACTTGTTGCCATTTTAATATTGAATGTATTGATTTCTAAACTTGCGTGTACATTTCACGGTGCCAAAGTGGTTTCTTTCCACACGGAGTATTTCTCCTTTGTTGGGTTGGTTGGTTGGTTGGCTTTTTTCCTAAGTTATGACAGAAGAAGAACCTTAAAGTCAACCGCTGAAATAAACATCAGATTTCTCCCCAGAGCTGAGAGATCTTACAGTTCTCCTAACAGCACCTTTAGAGCATTTCTGAGACGGCAATCTTACACAGTTAATGAAGAAAACTAAAAGCCATGCGGTCTATCCATCATAACTTTAAGAGCTACATTATTTCCGAAGAACTAGAATGAAACCGTCATCAAAAAGTCAACCCTTTGTGAGAAAAAGCCGGTATTATACACCAGAAACAGAGCCAAGGGTAACGCACAGAAAGCAGGGCTGAACTGATCTGCTCCACCTCCTGCTCCAAGGCAGCATCAGACATACCCAAACCGTTTCTGACGGGCAGCCAGACCCCCACCCCGGGCTGGGGGATACTCCGCAGCTCCCCGGGCGATCTGCCCTGGTGCTCCTCCATCCTCACGGACAGAAAGGGGATCCCTTATGACATATTAAGACTGTCAGTTCTTGCCCTTTTCTCAGCGTCTGGGAAAAGCACTGCGCAGCCCTCGGACTCACGGGGGCCTTTTAGATGCCTTACATCTCCCTTGCACCTTACAGAATGAGTCCTCTCCTTTCCCCCCAGCTTTCCTGGCAGAGACCGCGCCACCTCCATCTGCAGTCGTCATCACTCCTCTGCTCGGGACTTGCACATGATTTCATATTCACAGGCCATAAGTGCTGGGATTTCCTCGATCACCCCGGGGGAATCATTTCAACTAAAGACCCCTGGTGACTCCCCCAGAGTCACCACAGGGAATTTTCGGTTTATTCTTCCCCCAACTTTTTATACATAAAAATGTGCTGGCTCCCCTCAGCTCCCAGGTGCTTAAGCAAAGGCGGACAGAGCTCACCACTCACCAAACATTGAGAGGAGTCCACAGGCAAACCAGACAACCAGGGAGAAACCCACGCTGCCAGAGTTTTTCAGCACTCCTTTTGGGGAGATAAAGATGCCGCTGCCAACCATGCTGCCAATGAGGAGCGAGAAAGCCCGCAGCAAAGTTATCTTTTTCCTCAGAAAGACAGCCTCCTCTTCTTTCTTGTCTTTCCCCATGGCTTTTCTTCTAATCCCAGGGGACGGTCATGCGTTCAGGAGCTGCAGCCTCCCAAGTGTCCTCAAGGCTCACCTGTAAGACGAGGAAAGAGTTAGGGATTCAGGGCTCTGCTTTTCTGGACAGGATTTTTCGCAGAAAGCTGTCAAAGATCTGTTGGATTTGTTCTCCTCAGCTGCTGGGTGCACCAGCCGCACCACAGGTGCACGGAGCACACTCGGATGTCATCTCTCACAGCAGTACAGCTCCTGAGTGGGGCTGTAAGGGTCTTCTGCCTCTTCTGCCAAGGGGCACGGAGCATTGCAAGTTGCATGACACACTTCAGGATATGATTTCCAGATTCAACTTTGATGCCCAGACTGGAACTAGCCAGTTTAGGTTTAATTTAATGGGACCTCAGTTGGGGGAACATCGATATCAGCACACTGGCAGAAAGTTGCAAACCTGATAATCAGAGACCTTAAGGATCTCTGAGGCTGAAAAAAAAATATTTTTTTTTTTTTGAGGAGTGAAGAGGTCCGTTAGTTGGAGTACACAGTCCTATCCATCCTTGCTGAATGAACAAACCCTGATTTTCTCACTAGATCTCCATTTTATCACTGTTTCTTAACATACTGTCCAGCCTTTTTGCTATCGGAGTATTGAAGAGTCAGGAATAAGTACTGTTTACAATTATAAGACAGAGCACAGTCATTAATATCAGACATGCCATTCCTTCTATTAATATAAAATCTTTCTCAGTAATAGAAGCAGGAGTGAAGTTTTTCCTAGAAAAGAGGGAACTTCAGACACTCCAGGGATCACGAGTTGATCTCGATCCAGGTCTCTTGTACCGCAGTAACCTCCTGCTTCATCCTCGTGTCTCTCCAGCCTCTCTCAGTCCTAGGCTGGCACCTTCACCAAGAAATTCACCTTCTGCTGAGTCAGGTAAGATGAATTCACATCAGTTCCTACAGTCTAATTTGCTGTAGCAAACCTGTTTGCAGCTTTGCTAAGTGCAAGGTAGACTTTTTACACTGCTAGCTAAGCCTGACAGAGTAGACAAGACAGGTCTGGAGTATATAATTTGGCTTCTGTTCTCCTCCTCCAGCCACACGTCTTCTCCAACCCTCACATGCTCAGCTTTAGTGTTTTTTTTCATTATTCTAGCACAGTAGACGGCAGCTATAGTGAATATTTGCCCCAGCCCCATGGCTGTATACTATTGCAAAGTTACGCTGTACATGAGACCATATTTCATGGATTTCTTAAGTTGTTTTTTAATTTTATGGATTTCTTAAATAATTACAGTGGTGTGTCCCATAGCAGTCGTCTATAGAAGCAGATCTAAGCAGTCAGAAATTATTTTCTTGACAGTTTGTATTTTCCATCCATTGACATAAACAGTCTCCATAACTTTGAGGGGACAATTCTTGTTACCACTCACCCACGATACCGCTTAGTTACACTGAGTTTATACAGGACATACAACGAGCTTCTCTGCCCCATCCCCAGCTATTTCCCCACCTGGAAACCGGCAGGAGGAAGCCGAGTTTATCACTTTCTCCGCACACATATGATTAGCACATGCAGAAAGCCCTCTCTCTCCTGCCAGCAGCGTTAGCTGGTTTCTCTGAGATCGCGCCAAGCCTGCACAAGAATCTTCTCAATCGAACCCGCCAAGTTTAGTTATTAAACCTCTAATGAGTCCCGGGGGACTCCTTAAGGCTCAGATGGGTCACATCAGCCTCGTCTGGTCCCGCAGAGCTGCTCCTCAGAGTCCCCAAACCTCCCAGGGCTGCTGCAGACGGCGGCTCTGGAGAGGCAGGGAAAGACCCCCGGGAGCTCCCTCAGCCCTCAGCTGCAGTTTCCTCAGACACCAATTAATTAGCTCACATGAAATACCAATATTGTCTGGTTACTTCTCAGCTGAAAGGAGAACTGCAGAGCGTTCGTTTGCAATGATGAAACACACGGGACTCACCGAGTTGAAACCAAACTAAACAGAAATGTGCGCAGCTATGTCTAAAATGCTGTTGTGAGATAATTAAAAGGGCACTTATCTGTTTGGCTGGGTTTTAAACAAAGCAGGTGCATTTACAATCCATCAGACTCCCATTTCTTGCTGGGATCCCGAAGCAGCAAAAGACAGCGTCTCTTTGCAGGCTCTGAAATTACACAAAGAGGGGGGGGAGGAACAAAAACAAGTAGAGGTTAAATCAAATTTACAGATCAGGTTAACGGTCCAAAGTAAATACCAAACTCCATACTTCTGTCCACGTGCATTTTTTTTTTTTTTTGGTTTTGTTTTTGAATACTACTGCCATGCATAAGTATTTGGAGACAAAACTGTCCAGTCCAGTAAATTTCAGAAACATTAAATCTATCAGGATTTGTTCCAGAAGTTGTTGAAGAAGAGGGGAAAGAAAGAGTAGCAGAAAGCTATTGAATAGCACTTCAAAGAGTCACCTAGCAGAGCCCACCGCCTGGAGAGACCATTCCTGCCTGTTCTGCTTTCCAGCTACATTCCAGCACCAGGCACATTAGAATGCAGAGATGTTAATCCTTGTGGCAATGCTTAAGAATATTCACAATGTGCTTAGCACAAAGGAAACCCACAGAGCCGCTTTTTGTTCGCCCTTTTGACTTAAAGGACAGGCTCAAATCCTTCTCTTCCCGAAGTGCAGTACCTTTGCATGAGATCATCAGCTAGCAGGGCTGGAGAAACGCAAACCCATTCCACAACTTTTCACACCTGCTGGATCTTTATTTCCTTGTTCTTAATCTTTACTGATTTCTTTTTTCTCTTAGTTTTAGCCGTTAATCTTACCTCACAGGCACTGCAGCATGGATGGAGATGAAGGAGACAAGCGTAAAGGGAAAATCATATTTGTTATTCGCAGTGGTGTCTAGAGGCCCCAGCTGAGAGCAGGACCCACGGTGACCAGCCCATAGGCAGGGTAGATGTTACTCGGCTGGGAAGCTAGCGATGTAAACAAGCAACTTGGAAAAAAGCAGAGGAGGGAGAAAGCATCATTCTCAGCTGGGGAGCTGAGACCTGGAGCAACCAGTGACCTGCCTCCTCCTATCACCCAGGAAGCGGGTGGCATCCCTGGGACACCGATCACACCTCGAGTCCCAGTTCAGCGACTCACCCCCCCTGCCCCGCTCCAAAAAAAAAAAAAGAAAGAAAGAAAATACAGCTACTAGGGAATACTCCTAACTATTTACAGCTGTATTTTCTTTGCGTGGGCCTCAATCAATACCATACAGCCAAGAACAGGTTAACCCCTTCCTGTTCACGCCGCAAAAGATGCAGGCATCAAACTCTCCTCTGCAGTCACACTATTTTTTTTTTGTTTGTTTGTTTTTTGGTGCCAAAAATGTCATTCCAATTCAATGTCCACCACAAGGCACAGGATCTAACTAAATAAAAATCAGTAGTGAATGGGAGCTTTTTATTCACGCATGAAAGTAGCATAAATAAGCTTTAATGAGACTGGTGGTGGTCTGTTCCAAAAACTCAGTCAGAAAATCTATTTAGGAGACCTGAAAGATGTTTGTTTATAGACCAACATGAACACAAGAAACAGGCTGAAAAGATAAGACACGCAGCTCAACTACTTTTCAGCTTTTTGCAGCTGGTTTACCACCCTGGATAAAGAACCAAAAAGGACAGTAGTTAATAAATCAGACTCAGGCTTGCAGCCTTAGCTGTAGTAATAAATCCAGGGTGACTGCCTGAGGTGTAAATGTAAGAATAATTCCCATCAGCTCCTCTTCCTACAGTTTCACAAACTTAGTCTCGTGAGTTGTCCATCAAAAGACTGACATTTCTTAACATTTCTTCTTTAATGAAAATATTTTTTTTTTAAGTCTTGACAGCAAAATGGGGTTTGGCTCGGGTCACACCACTTTTACCATCTCATTTAGGTATTTCCGTTGTCCTTTGGACAAGAATGGCTTTTTTTCTGGAAAACAGACTGATGGTGTGGTGAGTCTGGACCTCCTGATGATGTGATGATGACCTTTTAACTGAGGATCTAGAAGTGTTGAATCCACACTTTGGCTCTTTGGCTAGAAATTGGGTTAAACTGTTACTGGTTTTCAAGCAGCAAAATTCCTGTTGCTTATAGAGTTCCTTCCTACTGGAATTTATGTCCTACACCAAAATTCTTCATTACAACCAGTCTGCCAAAGCAGCCCTTATAAGTGGAGATGTTTTAATAATAGCAGCGCTGGTTCATTTTCATACAATGTCATCTCACTTTTCTAAGCACCCGAGTGTAACTCTGCATCCAACTGCCAGAAAAAATTCACACTTCCGTGCATCCAGAACTGATTTTCCACGAAGGTTGTGCGGGAACACTGGCTCTTTCACGAGCACTTCTTCCTTTCATGTTGCCACTGACACACAAAACACAAATATGGGAGAGATGCACACCTGGTTAGAACAGGCTCAACTCTTTTTCTACAGCACCAGCTACTAAACAGTATCAGAAAGGTGCACCAGCATCCCTGTGAAATGAAGGAACGTGGTTCCCCTTTCTTACAAGCTGGAGAAGGGGATACCCCAGGCACTTACTTCCCTGCCCATCCTGACCCAAAGGAGCAGCACCCAGAGGACCAGGCACCGGGGCACATAAATCTTAGGGGAAAAAAGCCACTTAGCAAGGAGACTGTCTCACATAGTAGTGCTTCCCGAGGCCAACATCTTGGCTCTGTAATCTCTCCTGTGGGGCACAGCGTAGGGAACTGTCCTTAGAGCTTTGTTCTTTTGTGGATGGCTCTCCAAGTAGCAAGCTGTTTTCACTCTCTAGATCAGCCCTCCTCCCTGGAACAAGACAATTTGTCCTATTTGAAACTGTTTTCTTAGCTGCGTAAGACAGAACACAAACAAAAATAAATCTAAACAACTCTAGCAGAAGAGACCCAACAGAGAATTCTAATGCTGTAGCAAAGTACAGCCAAAATTTCCCCAAATGAGGATTCTTAACCATTTCAAAATTAAAAAAAAAAAAAAAAAAAAACATAATAGAGCAACATCCCCCCTCCTCCCAGCAATCTGTCGCGCTGCATCAGTGCTGAGGTCTGAGAGTTAGCCTGCACCCGACAGCCCTTGCTCTTGCAGAAGAAATCCCTCCACGAGCCGGGTCTTCATTTTACCTCTTGCCCTGGCTGAGAGCTGTAAACGACACTGCTCCCTTGCCACTGCTTGCTGATTTATCAGAAAACCAAGTTGAACAGCTTCAGGCCGGTCGCTGGGGAACAGGAGTCCCCAGCCCAGCGTAAGGGGTGCTAAAACTGCCACCCATCCCCAGGGCCTGTTGGTCTGTGGAGGAGCTGCAGGGGGGGTTTGTCAAGGCCAGTATTGCCATCAGTGTCAGGCCAATGGCACCATCATCCAGAACCACCCGGTGCTTTTGAGCAGCAGCCTAATCCCAAAGCCTTCCCAGAAATGCTCTGCAAGAACAAAACACGTTTCTTGAATGGGGGAAAACGCCAAAATAGCCAAGTCCATCACCAGCTTTCCTCACAAAGAGGAAATTCCCCACTAGTGCAAGCTATTTTATCCTGCTTTGGAGACAGCTCTGTCCAGGTGAAACTCAATGCAGAGGAAACTCTCGGCTGCTTCTGCTATTGCCCGACGGTGTCAGATGGTGGGCCCCATCTGATGGGGGTTCCCGATCCACCTCTGCTTTAACCATCTGAAACTGAATCCTTGCAGAGCTGATCGTAGCAATAAACCTCCTCTTTCCATGTTGCCTCATATATTACAGTAGTTCCCCCATTAATCTCACTGCAGTGCTGCTGATTTATCACCCCAGGCCTCTTGCTCGCCTCAGGCTCCACCGCAGTGCCTGGCTTTGCTCCTTCTCTTACCACCTTCAGGGAATTCAGAAGAAAATTTAAACATTAAAAAAAAAAAAAAAAACAAAAAATCAAAACCCTTCACACCTGCATTAGCCACTTGCCCTGATTGCTACTCACTGTCTACGTAGCTAATTCATAGTTAATCCTCAGTGCTTTGTGCCAAATCACCCACTGCAGTACCTGACTCGCACGCAGCCCAAACTGCCTTGAACATACTTCAGGGTGGGGGGACTCTCTCCTTTTGGCTTCTCTGCTCAGCTGTTATTCATTTATTAAAATATAAGCCAAATACACAGTTATACTGGAGGGAACATGTTTCCTTGTTAACCCTTTCTGGCTCTTATCCAGAATTTCTCAGGCCATGGGGATTTACATTTTACTACACGGAGTTTCAGATTAATTGCTCAGCATTCCCCACTCCTCTGATGGAAGGAAGGGGGGACAAGATGTTTTTTCTCTGACCAGAACCACTACCTCATCCCCCATGAGGCAAAGCAGGAATGCACGTCCAGAGTGGCCCAGCCCAGGTAACAAGGAGAAGTGCCTTGTAAAAAGACAATAATCCCTCTGGCCAGAAGGAAAATGAGATTTTTTTTCTCAGTCCCGCCAGCACCTACGGGGCCTCTCTAGCCCAGCGGTGGGTATGGCTGTGCTGGCAGCTGCCAAACAAGGGTCTTGGTGGGGGCACGGGAGTGGAAGGAGGTTTGCTTAACGGTGGTAGTTACCGTAGGGGTGAGGAGCATGCTCCATGCCGGGAGCAGCTTGGGCAGAGCTTTAACCCCTGGTCTGAAAGGAGTATCTCCAGTCGTGCACACGCAAATCCTTCGAAGGTCCCGTTTTGTGCCTGCGGTGAAGCAGAAACACGTCACTACGTCTCATGGTTTAGAAGAGGTGAGGGAATGAACACCTGGCAGCGGCCCCCCTCCCCGGGCCCTCGCTGGCTGCAGCCCATTTTACCCACAGCAGTAGCTGAAGTGCGAAGACAGAGCAGAAATACATGTCGAGGGGCCATCAGGCTGCTGATCGCAAAGAGGAGCCTTATTCCAATCACTGCATCGACAGAGCTGGCTACGGGTGACGGTTGGCACCACGTGTGCAGCCCTGCCAGCTTTCCCAGAGCCCGAGGGATGGCACCAGAAACTTACCCAAGCCCCTGCTCTCGTGTTTTTTCAGGTTACATGCAGGCCACCTCCCATTTTCCGTCGCATTTAGTGAGAATCGGATTCTAGGAACGAGCGTGTCAACAAAACCAGATCAACGTGCTCACTGGGAAGGTTAAGTCAACACAAGGACGTGTTTATTCAATTTTAATCTAAGTACAGTCATAGAAGTACCTGCTGGGAAGGACTTCTGGGTGCCTCTGGTCCTGCCTTCCGTAAGACACAGGCCTGTTACCAACACTAGCTCAGATCAACCATGGCTTTGTCCAGCTGAGTCTTAAAACCCCTCAAGGTCAGAGAGTCCCTGACCTCTCCGGGTAACCTTTTCCAGTGCTGCACTACCCTCCCGGGGAGACGCTTGTCCCAGTGGCCACCCTGAACGTCCCAAGCCACCGCTTACGGCCATCATCCACCGCCGGATCATCCACCGCGCCCGAGACCTGCAGGAGGCTCAACCTCACAGTCTCCCTGCACCGATCAGCTCGCACTTGCCTTTGGTGATGGTCCCTGCCACCCCTCCCCTCTCCAGCACCCAGGGCTCCACCAGCCCCCGGAGACTCACTTCCCTTCGGGCTTCCCTGAAGTCAACGAACTCAACACAGCTGAGAGCTGGGGTGGCTTAAGCACAGGTAACTACAGGCAGGTGAAAGGCACCAAGTGGATATTCCCCTCCAGCATGCCTCTGATGCCCCCTGAGCCCCACACCCAAACAATCTCCAGCTTTGGAAGCTCTGGTTTTGGCTCTCTTTTTATGGTGGTCCGTTTTTGGTTGATTGGTTGTTTTTTGGGGGGTTTGGGTTTGTTTTGTTGGGTTTTTTTTTGGTTGTTGTTGCTGTTTTGTTTGGTTTTGGGGTTTTGTTTTTTTTTTTTTTCTTTCCCTCTCTCTTTTTTCCATCCCGGACTTTGAACCTCCCTCTGATCTCTTCTTGTCCACATGATTGCATCATTGATGGCAGGTAAGGTTAGCATGAATAGAAGGAAATACAAACAGCACTTCACACAGCATGCCGGCAGCTGGGAGAACCTGCAGCCAGCAGAGGTTACAGACCCCAGTCAGGTCTAATAAAGACCTGCATCACTGGAGGGGCAAGAACTACAGTCGCAATTATTCATGTTGAAATAGAGGTCACTGCGTCTCCTGCTTTGGGGGCAAATCTGAGCACTGCAGGGTGTCTAGAAGGAGGTTTCCTTTGTGCACTGCACCAAGCACGGGGTCAGGACAGCCCAGCAAGGCTCTGCTGCCGGCCGCTCAAAGAAAGAAACACCACGAGGATTTTTTTTTTCATTTTTTCCCCTTGTTGTCGTGGCTCTGCACGGACACAGCATACGCGTGGAGAGAGGACGGGAGGACCTTTTGTTGCAGGACTGGGGCCATCGCCCTGTGAGGCGCTGGGGCTTGGGGTCATCGTGGCCAACACACCAAGGAGCCACCATCCTGAACACGGAAGGCCTGAATTCAGCTCCTCCTCTCCTGGGTGCCTTAAAACAATAGTGGCTGGAATATCCCTAGCCCCATCCTCCCCACGCAGCCCCCTCCTTGGGGGTACTTGCTGTGCAGGCACCAGCAAATCAAACCTCTGCTTGTTTCTGTCCCCAGCACGTTCGCTACATAAACCAAGGAGAGCAGGGGGACCCTGCGGGGCGACTACTGGTCCCCTGCCAGAGGTGGGATGAGGAGGCTGTTTACCTGAGGAAGATGAGGGCTCTGGCAGGGGCTGCGGCACTGCCAGCGATGCTGGCTGGCTTGCAGGGTCTTCTCCGTGGAGCCAGTGGTTTGTGCGAGGTGCCCCGTGCGAGTGGGAACGTTGCAAAACTCAGGACAGCTGTACGAATTCCAGACCGCTCCAGCTGCTCAAATGTAAGTACGAAAAATATTAGCAATTGAATTGGGGAGGCATTGCAAAACAGCTAAGGAGAAAGAAAATAAACTGGCGTGCTGTGATTGATGTAAGCATGTAACAGTCTCCACATGTCACTGGGACCAGCACGATCTGCACCAGCTGAGGCACTGTTTCCAGCGAACTGGAAAAACACTTCCAAGGGGAGCGACTATGCAGTTGGGGCCAAGCCCTTGTTCCCTGTCACAGTGCCGGTGAGCCCCGTGGGCCTCCTCTGCCACGCAAAGATGGTTTTGCAGGGACACAAAGCCTCTGGCCACAGTTTGGGCTTCTGTGCTTGTCCAAGCTTGGGGCTGAAGCCCGGATGAGTTAACCAGATGTCAGGAATCCTCAAGCCCTGTTCCAGATTGGACCTCTCGGCCACCAAGAGGGTTTGCTTTCAGCCAGGGGTGATGCTGAGCATCCCTAGACCTCACCACAACCAGCACTGAGCTGCTGGTCCCTCCCTACCAGCCGCTCTCCACCCAGGCACGGCTCCTGCTTACAGCTGACCTGGCCCCTCGGTGCTGAGCCCTGGAGAGGCACGGGGACAAACAAACCGGGAGGTGGTGGTCAGGGTCGCTCGCTGGACTCACCCACCACGGCCGACGTTGACAAACAGCCACCCTCTCCTTTCCCGGTGTCGCTTTGGCTGCCACCTGCCAGGAGCCCTAACACAAGTTTGGTGCAAAGAGCCGGGGAAGAGTTTCCACTCCAGGTCAAACGGTGCGTGTCACCCAGCCCCCGACTGACGGGCCGTACGCTGGGCGCCTGTGCAGACGCACAACACACGTCTGAGCCTCTTGCTGTACTTCCATAAAGCACATCCAGAAAGAAGACGCAACGTATCCTGCGTATCAGAGAGAAGACAGTAGAAGCAGTATTAAGAGATTATCCCAGATGCATTTAACGGGTTCTATTTATCGTGTGGCTACTCAGCAGCAGGTACAGAGGATACCAGGCCACTGCATTAAATTCCTGTAACTATCTCATCCCTCCCCAGCCAACTACTGCTGCTTTAGATGAAGGAAAAGGTTTATGGTGTTCTTTTTACCCCTCCTCCCCTACATTCTGTTTGATCCTAGGAAATTTCATTTGAAAAGGCACTAGCAGAATGCTGCAGATGTGCAACGGACGGAGAAGCAAGCAGCAATTTCAGTCCCAAGACACGGGAAAGCCAACAGAAGCCTTTCCACGGGTTTCGGCGGGCTTCGGGTTAGACCTTCAGGGCAAGGAAGGAAAGAACACCACAAACACTCGCACTTCGATCGTGCCCTCGAGCCGCGAGGTGCTCGGGACGCTCGGGGTGAACCCTTTGGGTGGCTGCCCCGTCCCCGGGGAGCCGCGTGCCGTGCGGCAAGCCGGGGCGAGCTGGCAGGCACATCCAGCACTGGATGTTCCCACCCAAGCGGGATGCCTGCAGATGGTTTTTCCAGGAGGGCTTGGAGGCAGCTCGAGGATTTTGCTGCTGAATCAGGCATTCTGCGGCGCAGGCAGAGGCCTCGCCGCTGGCGCCGAGCCCCGCAGCTGCACAACGCCTGGCACGCGCCGCCGGGGCTGCGGAGCCAGCCCGGAGCGCGGCCGCCCGCCCGCTCGCTGCCAGCCGGTGGCATCGCTGGAGGCATGCGTCCCCCCCTTCGGCAGGAAAAAGATGAAAAAAAAAAAAAAAAAAAAATAGTTACCCGGGGGACAAGCCACGGGAAACGCGTCCCTGTCCGGGAGGGAACGGACTCATCGTCCAGCACGCGGCGACGCCGTTGGAGCGCAGAGGAGGGGTGCAGGTCTGGCACCCGAGCGCAAACAGCTCGTCCCTGTCGTCCCACGTCACCGGCCTCCTCTGGCACACATCTTGGGGTTATTGGTGTAAGGGCACACGTCCCAAAATGTGTAATGGTCAGGCTTTTCCGGGAGCTCTTCAAGTGCGGTATGCCTCTGTCCTTTCTCACTGGACTGCTTCTACCTTCAGGGAAAGACGGCCTTGCCAATAAAGGCTTCTTTTTCAGCTCCCACCAACTATTTATCTCTGCAAAGCGAGCAGACAGGGCCGGTTTTCCTTCCTGCTTTGCTGTAGGTTTTTCAGAACAAGAGCTCGTGGAGCATGAGGATAGCGCAGACCTTGGCCACGTTCTGTGCGTGAGACAGCAATGCAAATTCATACATTCCCCCCTTCCTTGTTTCGCTTTGATGTGAGTTGTCTTACACAGGTCTCAGGGTAAGCACAGTTGCAATGGCTCCCCAGGTTTTGAAGTCTCCTGAAAACACCAGAGCCTGTGCTTGCCAGCTTGTGTTTTTAATGCCTGGGCACCGCGGTGCTGTGGAAAGGGCAGGACCCGTGCAGTCTTGTGGCAGTATTTTCATTTGCTGTGTTTACAGGGCAACTCCTCTCTCTTGGCAGCCAGCAGTGGTGGGCAGTTACAGACATTTCAGAGCGCATCACCACGCAAGTGTCCCATCCCAGCGGGCGAGGGCTTGAGAGACAAGAGTAAGAACAGCAGCTCTGGAAAGGGAAACAAGGAGGGCGAAGACAAGGGAATGGGAGATTAAAACATCAGATTGAAAAGGAACAATAAACCCCTGGTGAGGAATATAACTGGAGGGGTAGAAAAGGAACAGATTGCAGCTCAGTAATGAGGCAGACGGCATTTTCTTTGGGATCTGCAAATTCATTTGGGCTTTCTGACAGGAAAAGATCCCGTGCTTTGCGGAAACGCCCTGGGTACGTGACCGGCCTCTCTCAGGCCTCCAGTGGCAATAGGGGCTGGAGCAGGCAGGTCTGGCAGCACGCTGGGGAGTGCAACCCTCTGAGGCCCGTGGAAATGGGCAGGACGCTCTGCGTGGGCCACAAATCCAAGGTGACAGCCAGGCTCGGCGCCCCAGACACGAGGGGCTGCCTAGGGCCACCGAGGGATGGACGAGGGCATCTGGCAAAAACACCGTCTTGCTGCAAGGATCCTTGGAGCTATTAAGAGTGTAGCTCCTCTGCCAGGCGGGAAGGCTTTAGCTGAAACTGAAGGTTGCAGTCTGTAAGGGCTGCAGGCAGCAACGCAGAGCATTTCGGGGCATGGCACCCACGGAGCGGGGACGTTGCTACCAGCCATCGTCACCAGCGTTCAGGCAGCGCCGAGATGTTCTTGCAAAACTCCTCCAGGGAAGGAGAGAAAAAAAAAAAAAAAAGACAGCAAGGCACAGATCCTTGCGTCTAGCTCCCACCCCTCAGTTCCCTGTATTTCATTAGGCAAATAATAGCTCAGGGTCAATAGCATCAGCCTCTTTCCTAGAAATGAAATAACCACAGCCAACTATCAGGTTGCCAAGCTGGGGACCCAGGGATGCAGGCAGACGTCCCCGGTCTTCAGTCAGCTGCTTTTGGTGTCTTTAGCACAGCATTGCTTCGATGACACTAGGCAAGAGCATGGCTCTCCTTTGCTGTGGTTTGGGGAACATGAGTGCATGAAAGAGGGGGCAAGAGCTCCCACCCACACGTTTGGTCTCCTCGTTGAAGCCTCGGCAGAAGTACTCAGGAATAAATGGGCAGGGGGGTCCCATTTGTTTTCTTTCCTCTGGGATGAAGATATTAGAGTTATCAGACTGATGCTTGCCCTTAACATTAGTCTCCAAAACAAAAGAACAAATTCAGCATAACCAATATCTCTGTGGGTACAGTGCTCCTGACGGCCCACAGCACACGGAGTTCAGCTCTATGAAGATACAAATCCCCACTAGCACTCGCTGAGAGATGCCCTCTCTCCTGCCATTTGCAGGGAGGAAGAGCACAGAGAGGCAAAGTGCCCCTTGCAATGTTTGGTGACAACAAGATGCAAAGGCTTGGTTTGCTGGGACCAGGTCACACACACACTTGCACCCCAGAAGCTGGGGGCTGCCAGGCCCCCGAGCCATCTCTCTGCTCCGCGCTAACGTGTCTGCTGCTTCCTCTTGTGCAGTCAGCAGCAACCCCAGCCCTGGGACCTCCACGAAGAAGCCAAGCCAAGGAGAGGAGCCTGGATAAGGAAAAACTCATCAAGTGATGGGTCAAGCCCCTCAGGACTCGCTCTTCCCATCAGCTGACACGAGCTCTCCTCTACCTGTCCACGAACTCAGCTCACAGACAGAAACGTCACCGGAGCTCACTTTTACTTTGGAAACACAGCAGCCAGCACCGGGCCAGCACACAGACCAGATCACCAGCAGCAGGGCAGCAGCTGCTTGCAGGCAGAAGTCTGAAGAGAAGGTACTCCAGCTCCTGTTTTACAAACTGTAGATTCTCTGACACAGGCACTACAATACACTGGGTTTTACACGCATATTCATTGAAAAGTTCTCCCTGCTATTGGAAAGACAAAGTTTCTGTAAAGCAGTTAACTAAGAAATATCCCTATTTTTGTCCCTCTTACTTAATAATTACTCAAATTTGCCAAAATAATCAGCATGATTTTTTCCTACTTTATATAGAAAAATGTCTGTAACCAGCTCCAGCTGTCTTTCCCCGTCTTAAGTATTTGCAGCCAGTAAGCACCTGTGCTCACTTACAACTACACAGACCCAGGTCTGTAGACCAAAACCCAACACTTCACACCAGTGCTGAACCAGTTAGCTGTCAGAAGGACGACCAACCGGTATGGGACATTCTCAGCATTAAGGACTTCAAATGAAGATGCCTCCTTGGGAGATAGGCTGTAGGCTGACGTGACAGACAGACAGCAGCAGAGCTTACCTAATGGCATTTTACAGTGTGTTACTTGAAACACCAGGCTAAGCAGCCTTCCTTCTTACACAAAAAAAAGCCAAGCCCCTGCCACGCAGAACCATTGCAGACTGGCTTTGTGTTACCCC